CCAAGAATGAGATCGAAAAAATATTAAAATAAGTAGCCAAAGTTAGCGAATGATTCCACTTGTAGTGGATGACACGTTAATATGGCGGTCTGATACACTAAGCCTAAATCAATGGAACATCGGATTTTAAACACTCAAAAATGGAAAAATTGGCCACCCGGAGGCCGGAAAAGACTCACCAGGAATGCCTTGTGGGTTTACATGTTGAATTTAATTAACTTCGGGGTGAAATAATGGATATTTATTTCTTTTAGAAGATGTTTTTGAGGACTCCATAGAAGTTGTTGTTTCGTTGGTGGAGATCTAGATCAGCTTTTCTCTATGGTATACTGCCATACAAATCTTTAAGGTTACCATTGGCCTATGGTATACTGCCATACAAATTTCTGTGGTTGCCATAGGCCAATGGTGACGTGCCATACAAATCCTTATGGTTACCATTAGTCTATGGTATACTGCCATACAAATCTTTATGGTAGCCATAGGCTTTTGGGGTTTTGCCATACAAATCTCTATGGTAACCATAGGCGTATGGTATCTTGCCATATAAATTTCTATGGTAGCCATAGGCTTATGGGGTTGGGCCATACAAATCTCTATGGTAACCATAGGCGTATGGTATCTTGCCATACAAATTTCTATGGTAGCCATAGGTTGCCATAGATTACCATAGGCTTCTCTATGGCAAATTTTCCTAAGGGATGAGAAAACGTAGAAAAAGTTAGATTAATTTAACAATTTCAAATAGAATAAAAAAAATCTATTGAAAACCATGTTACGGTGCAATGCACACAAAAAAAGGATCATTTTGAATAATTTTTTATCTAATGTTTGGATTTAAAGTTTGGAACCCTTAATGTTAATTTTATCTTTTTGCGTGTTTTGCTATATCTCGAGAACTTTCAAAGCAGATTGAAAATTTTTTGCACACAATCATAAAATTCATTTATCCAAAGATAATTCCATGCAAAAAGTAAAAATAGTAAATATTTATTATTTCTTGTAATTTTATTCAATAAAAGTTTATTATATTCTTTATAATTTATTTATAATTTAATATTATAATATTATATTTTTTTATAACTTAATATTATAATAGTATATATTTTTACTTATTAATTTTGAATTGTAAGGTAAACAATTTTCTACACCATGTTAAAGTATGTCATTTCACATGGCGAAATAAAAAATTCAAGCAAAATCGGTCGAATAGTTTCTGAAAACTTGAAATAGAGACTTAAATTCAGTTTTTCAGGAACTATTCGACCGTTTAGGCTGAAAATTTGTATTTTTCCATGCAAAAATACATTCTTTAAAATGATGCAAAACCTTAGGATTCAAGATTTTGCAATCTCATTCTTAAATAAAATAATAAATACTTACAAATGCACCGGATTTTTATATGGGATTATCTTTGGATAAACGATTTTATTACTGTGTGTAAAAAATGTTCAATGTGCTTAAAAAGTTGTTGAGACATAGCGAAATGCGCAAAAAGGTAAAATTAACATTAAGGGTTTAGCTACATGATAAGTATATGCTCAAGAATGAGTAGTGAATAGAAGTTATATTTCTAAAATTAAAAAGAAATTAAAGAGAAAAACAAATATAAAAATGAACAACTACAAAATATTTTAAAGAAAAAAAGTTTTGCTCCCAATCGATACACTTTTCTAGCTCTTCTAAGCAAAATGATAGATTTAAAGTGTTCCAGATGAAGTTACGTTGTTTCTCAAAAAATTTAAATTGAGTTACTCACCTCAAAAATAATAATAAATAAATAAAAATATGTAGATAAAAAAAACTTGATTGATCAATTTTAAGCACAGCATAGTGAAGCAGATTTAATTAGGCTACCGAGATGCGAAACATAATTCCAAATTAAACTAAAAGAATATTTAGATAGTTTCTATTTATATTTCACTTCATTTTATTATGAAGGAGCAAAATAAGAGATGGAAATAGATGAAAACAAATGTAATAAAAAGAAAAGCAGTGGTATCGGACGTAAAAATAATTATTTGTTAGTTTACAATAAAAATATTTATTATTTTCGAAATCAAAATAGACTAAACAAATGAGATTTAAGATCTTGCTTTAAACAAAATTTAAAAAAAAGGTCACATATGTCGTTAAGGCATAAATTATATATTCCAATGATGTGAGTCGAATGCCTATTTAAAAAAAAATAATAACACGCTAACATTTCGAGGCCTTACTTTAAGACAATAATAAGCTAAAAATAAAAAATAGAAAAAAAAAATAGCTTTGTAGAAAATTCTGAATTGGAATTGAAATTTATTTACTTCTTAATAATAGTGGGTAGTTTTTTTGTTTTAACTATTACTTTAATTTTAAGCGTTATATCTGGAAAGTCGACAACTTAAATACTTTTTCTCTCTGAATACTTAGCTTGTTTACTTCTACAAAAGCTTATCGGAAAAGAGAAAATGCATACATTTTTTTTCTATTATTATTTAAAGAGGGAAAATAATAATATAGAAGAATGCAACTCATCATTTTCTTGCGAGAAATCTTTCATTAAAACTGAATGAGTGCTTTTTTTTCGGAAGTTATAAATTCAGATTTTAAGAAATTCGACGATAACTTAATTTCATATTGTATTAGACAATACTTTCCTCTAATGACTTTACTATCGCATTACTTTAAAGACTCTAAAGAAAAAAGAAAATTATTATTGTAATACAGTGAAATTTTATAAAAAAATAATTTATATGTAGTGACAAGTCAAAATAATTTGAAATTAATTTTGCTACTTGTGGAAAAATATTCCTACAATGCCCAATAATAAATAGACATTCCTGAATCTATCTTTCTGATAGGATTCCCATCAAAGAAAAAGCTTTCAAACACGTCCTTTAAAACAAAAATCTGAAGTATTCGATAAGTAAAAAGCTTTTTTCTTCAGTACGTTTTTCTGCCATTATAAGAAATTTTTTTTTTTTAATTTATCGAAAACATCAGATGAGTGTTTAAAGAGTAAATTCATATCGAGATATTTGATTGGAGAAGGGTTCCAAAAATTCTTATGTATACAATCTTTCTAACTCGTTAGTTGACACACACTTTGATTTCGCTTGCCGACATATTTGACAAATATATTTTATAACGGAAATATTTGGTAAATTTCTTTGACACCTCTGTTAGTTTTTAAAAATTACAATGCGCGATACCACAATCATTCTAATTTGTTTTTAGAGCCTAAATTGACGCTTTTAGTAATGTGTGAATTTTTTAGTTTTTCATCCCAAAGGAGATGAAGTTGGCAAAATCGATTGTTATTTAGTTTTATTGGGAAAATAAACAGTTGCTTTACACACACTCATCTAATTCTAATGACGTCTTAAGTGAAGAGCTTAGGTGAAGAGAATAAACAACGTTAAATATAAAATAACTCCTCCCAATTAAACCTTACATTTCATTGCTTATTAGGAACATCCATTTTTAATTGTGATACAGATAATATTTTGTGGGTCAATACCTTTAATAATTGAGTTGTATCATTAAAGTGATTTTTAGCACCAGTACTAAGAATAACTGAAGATTTAAATGTGTTTTACTATTACTAAACTCTACAAAATTTTAATTTCCAGTTTTCAAATTTGAGTTATCCTACAAGTAATTTTAATAGTCAATTTTACTGCAGCTTACCATTCCTCTGAGCAACTTAAGCGGTACTTTTCTGATTACTTAACTTACTTCCACATTTCACCTTATTCTGTGGTCGTCTATCCTCGATATAGAATCGAGTTGGTGAAAATCTCAGCATTTTTCCTTGTTTCCTCGATTCTGGTATGACTTACGTTAGGAAGTCATAAGGTGGAAGAAATTAAGATAAGAACCGAATTAATATGCCTTATATGCGAGTGAGTTAGGTAATTGTAGCTACATTACTCCCCCACCAGAATTTTATCTGTGATAGAATTCGATGAACGACCACCACCTGTTGATTCATTTGCTGTTTTCGCGAGATGCCGGGAGAGCTGTCATTGCTCACCCACTCCCGGAATGTTTTGGGCAGTTCTTTTTAGATATTGTTTCGCTCTCTTATTTCACTTTTCAGGCTGATAGTGAGATGGATTACAGATAGAACGGAACTAGTTTAATACTAGTGAATTACAAATCCTTAAAAAATGTGCTTCTAATTCGTTAAACATTTCTTGACTTTTATATTTAAATTGCTAAATTTCAGTCTTTCTTTTTAGGGAAGAATGGGCCAAAGACAGAAATTCAATGAAGGGTAAAGGAGAATTATCACTAGAACTGACCAAAGCAAAGGAGAACTTCTCTACATTTGCTTATTTAAATATTAACATTGATCCATCTAATAATAATTTTTTTTTAATGAAACTAGACTATTTGGCAGCGATGCACACTGTTTCGTAACGGACTGATAAAAAACTGTTTTGTTTGTATTACGAGTTATATAAATGAATTTCTTCAAAAGCAGCCGAAATTGAAATTTAATAGTCCGAAAACTAATCGGTAATTTAAAATAAATAAACAATAATTTTCAAATATAAGAGTAAGTGATTGCAGAAACTCTACAGCAAGAGTAGAGGCAGTTTTTTTTTCAATATTGAAGGGAATTTCCCCAACGTAAATGCCTAAATAACATATCTTCTGTATATGTGTTTGATATGATGAGTGTAACCATTTTTGAAAAATTAAAAACCGAGATATATTTATTAAAACACAAATGTTTTTCAGCAGTCATGGAAACTGCATCTTCATCAAAAGTACACGGAATGAGACAGTAATTATTCATACAATAAAGTAATTTTGTTGGACAACAACCAATCATGAAAAACTTAATAAACAGCACGCAGGGATTCAATACATTTTTGTTGTAACAATCATAATAAAAAAACACAGTTTAAATTGTAACACAATCAGAAGTATGAAAACATTAATGTGCAATTATAATGAAAGAGAAATGTGTGAAGTACAGTTTTTAACAAACCTCAAACAACCAACAATTCGATAAGCTTTTTATTTTCAATGGCTGAGGCCACGAGCAAGAAATAGGAACAAAAGCAATTTGAACAAAGAAACGCTACGATTTAATTCAGCTAAAAATGAACATTTTTTGACGGAATGATTTAAGATTGTTATTTTCGTTAAATTAATTAGAAATGGTAGCTTCAGTTGTTGTAAAAGTGCAATGAATAAAAAATTTCATTATGCACGTATGATCATTTATGCTCTTACAAACATTAAAAGGCTTGTTGATACGGAAAGCACAATATCATTACACATAGATACATTTTTTTAAATGGAACTTCATTTATTAATCAAATCGTAATACTTCATTCATTTCTTGGTTTGGCTGACATAATCATTTTTGCAGTGAAAAATAAAAATTCGTCGTCCTTTGATTTTACGGGAGTTGATAAGCGAAAATGCTTTACAATGGTAGTAAGGAAGAGAAAGACTTGAGCCATTGTGAACCCTTCCCCTAAACAGGAGCGTTTACCTGAAAAATATAAATAAAGAAGAAAAAAAAGAATTAACATTTTGATAGCAATAGGAATAAAGAAAATGGTTTTATGATACATTGCAGTTAAAATTAAAGTAGGGGCAACTTTTTTTCCAAAATCAAATTTGTCTGTTGGGGGAAAAGTTGTGTATTAGTATGAAATGCTCGTGATTTTTTTTTCTTTTGAAATCAGAATATATTTAGGCCCCTAAATAGGTCCTTGAAATTTCTCTAATTTTATAAAAATCTCAAATTTTTCTTTATTTTTTTAAAAAGAATTTTTTTTAATGGCTCTGTAAAATATTTCAACTGCAGGCAATTAAGAGTTTTGTTGCACAAAAAATTAAAAGAAACCTGTACATTATTTAATAGAATTAGAGAAATTTTAAGGACTTGGCGGGAGGGGGATAAATGTATTTTGATTTTAAAACAATATTCACACTTGATATCAATATACAATTTTTCTTACTGTAGGCGATTTCAATTTAAAAAAGTAAAAATCGTCCCTTTCTATTATAAACTGATACATCGAAGAAATATTGCCTACTATTTTTCTTTTCATTCTTAGTTGAAATGAAAGATGGGTTGACAGCCCAAGATACGATATTCTCCTCCTTGCTTTTACAGTAAATACAATAATTTGTGAAGGTGATGCTTTTTTTAAAAAAAAATAGCATTCATAAATGAGAAATAGTAATAAGAAGAAACAATTTTATTTCTGATTTTCAGAGTGCTTCTTGTAAGGACTTTCTCGTAGTTTAGTTACAGAAAAACATAGCAATCAAAATGAAAATAAAAGTTAGAGCGCCATCTGGTGATAACATTAAAAAAAATCATTGACACTCGCAGGATGTTCCATTTATCATTCTCTTGACTAGTGTTTTGATATCTCGAAACGCATTCAATTTTTCAAACGTCCGAAATTTCAGATCGAAATAAATCGAAACTTACTCACCCAATCCAAAGAGTATGGGTAGTTCTGCCTTCTTTTGTCCTTCTTTTTGTAAATAACGTGAGGGATTGAATTTTTCAGGTTCTTCAAATACTTCTGGATCAAAATGGGATGCCCAACTATTCATGATCATTACAGCACCTTTAGGTATCCTGTAACCCTTAATAGTAGTTTCTTCTGTTAAAGTTAAAAAGTTTTATTACAATAAATGTTACTATTCATTGCAATCATTTTTTATTTTTTTAATGTTTTTCTTTAAATCACAAAATGTAGTTGCCGTGCATTCTCATAGTAGAGTTAAATCGTAGTAGAGTTAAAAAAAAGTCTAGATATCTTTCACAGTCTCTGGTATGAAATGAATAAAAATTCGAACGGTATTTACTTGTAAATCACTCGTTTATTCCTTATCTAAAGGAATATTTACCGGTATTATTTATCCTTCATTCTGTCTAAAGATTATATTTCTCTAATTTTAATTCAGATAATTATTCACTGGGGAACAAATTTCTCGAGGATGCATTTATACAAGTACTTACAAATTCGGCTGTGTGGATTTTAAATCTAAATTACCTTTCTTCCGAAAGCTACGGATTATTTTCCAAATTATATTTTTAGTTTAGTTTATTTTTTGTCCCCCATGTACAGGTTTATAAAGAACATATACTTTTATGTACATACAAATATAGGATTGTCCACTCCTTTGAAAGTAAAAAGACAAAAAACATATGACTTTAACGTATCCCATCCTATATTGAAATGCATTATAGTCTTTTTTGTTCCATGTCTTATGTAAATAGAGAAGTGGAGACACCTATTATTCACTCGAGTGAATTTACAAAAAAGAAATCTGGTTAGGAATAGATTAACAAATTGCGTAAAAACCGCAGCTTGCAGATTTGAAATCAACGACGCGGGAATATCTAAGATTTGATTAAAAATCGCTTGCAACAGAAAAGAAGCATTTGTTTTCCAGTGTTACTCAAAATAAACTTTTAAGTATTGTTTCTTTATTATAAAGATAATTTTAACCCTTTATGACCAAGTCGATATAAATCAAACATGAGATATAATAATTTTAAATCACTTATCTTCGCTGATTTATTTACAAACACTAAAATCGGATCTTAAATTTAATAATGTATTCTAGTTCGTATGGATTATCTTTAATTTCTTCGTAGCAAAATACTTTTCAGCTATTTATACAAAAATTGCATCAGGTCTTAAAGGTGATCCATTTAATTTACTTCAACGTACTACTTTTATATCCTTCCAAATAAAAAGTGATTACAAAATTTATTTTTTATTTAAGCATTTATTTGAGAGAAGATCAGCAACTTAAACTTTAGTATTTTAGATAGGAAGTACATGTTTATTTTTTTATAAAATTGATCTTTTCTAAAATAGTAAATAACTATACGTATTTATTTAAATGGAAAATAAGCTAACATTTTTAACATGATATAGTTTGTGGAATACATTGTGGTATAAAATTGAAGGGTTAAGTAACATTACATGATAGAGAAATATAGTTATCATTTTATAGTTACTAAACGGTAAATAAATATTAGTTACCTTATTGTAAGATCTGTTTACTTCCTAAATAAATTTTATGTAAAAAAAAAGAATCATTCAAAGTAAGCAACTAAAAGACTGATTTATTAAATAACTCCTTAAAATTCTAAAGCAATATTATCAAAATTCGCATCGAGAAACAAGAATCCTCGTTTTTTGGTCAAATAAAAATGTATACTGGCTTTCCGTAATCGTAGAAATTTTTTTAAAATTAGTTATTATAACTATTTCATCTTCTATTTGATTTGGAAGAAATAACTCCTTCGTTATTTCTAACACTATGAAAAATGCAAAAAAATGACAAGGCGGGAAAAATTTTATTAAAATTATAGCTACAGCTACTATGTTTTGCTAGATTTAATGAAGTTTTGCCAACCTATTTTTTAATCTTTAATTTTTAATAGCTGAAATTATGGTTTTTGGATTATCGGAAAAGTTACCCCCATGCATCGTGTTTAGAATAAATCGTTCGCTTTTTGTCAATTATTTTCAAATTAGAGGGACTACTTCCTGTCCGCTGCTGGTGACAAACCCCGATGATTACTTCGCAACAACTGTTGTTGCCCAGAATAAAGCATTTTTTTTCTACAAAAGTCGAAATTATTTTTTATTTTCACGTCCAACTTTTTTAGTGCTTTTTGCAAATTTTATATATATATAAAAAGAAAAAAAAACAGTTGGACACAACTAAATAGCAAAGCTTTCAGATTCTTTGATAATTTTAAAAAGTTTTAAAAGCCTTACAACGAGAGAGGAGCTACAAAGTAGGGTTTCATATAAACTTTTGAATCATTTATATGTAGTGGTGTGGTAAATAACTTTAAATAAAGTTTAATAAACAAAAACAAAAAACTCATACATAAAAACATAAACTAAGCTACGATTAGAAGAAATTTTGGTTTTTCGGTTAGTCGGGCTCAAGCAAAAAGTAGCCAAAAAATACAGATCTCCACCAACTTTAAAATTTTTTTTTAAATACATCAAAATTAAATAAAAAGATTTCCTTGCTCTAGACTAACCGAAAAGTACCGATTTTTTTTCCATAAAGCATAAAAAGTTGTCAGCTCATGTTGCACAATGATTCAGTGGTGAATGGGTGCAATAGTTAAAGAAACCATATTTAATAACAAACAAATTTAATGATAAAAACAATAAAACGAAATGGGGCTCGCCACTGAGCCATCCAATTCAATCCATTGCCTGCCACATAAGTGATTACAGAATTATTGTGAGCGATTCCAACTCCCTTTTTTGTTCAGGCAGAAATTCATAACAGCCCTATATGCGTTCTATAAAGAATTCTGATTGTGCTTACGTTTCTGCCCCCCCGTCCAACATTCATTTCTTTAAATTAAACGCTTAATTTGAATCAAATTTAATTGTCAAATAGTATGAAAGATTCCATATGATTCTATTAAGATTAATTAGTAAATAATTTTGCTTATTAAACTATATTTTTTTTAAAAATTACATTTTAAATGAAAGGTCATAAAAAATTTTGTAAGTTCACAACCGTAATTTAATATTTCCGCATACTAAACTGGCTAATACATTAAATACAATTTGTGTCACATTGTGCATAAAGTTGTTAATTAACAAATTAATTATTTAACGAATCTTTAACGGTAACTTAACATAGTATATTAATGTATTTTACACCAAAAAATAATAATATTGTAAAGCGGTTGAAAATTTTAGACATTGATTCATATGTGATTATCTTAAAATGTCGCGTAATAATGGTAATATCATAGAATTACATCATAATAAAGGAATAACTCTGCGACACTATCATTATATGTTTATATTCTCCCAGTATCCTAAGAAGAAAAAATATCAAACTGCAAGTCCTTCAGTCCCGCAGTGGACTGATCGTTAAGACACGGTTCCCAGCAGATCACCGAAGTCAAGCATCACTGGCTGCGGTCTGTGTGCGGGTGGGTGACCACTTGGATCAGTCTGCGTAGGGACCGAGGGTGTGCGGTATGGGTCCTCGTTAAACTGTTCTACCGTAAAGTGCTCGACTTCGCGTGCAGGTCGTCGGGCTACCGAAGCGGGGGTGCCATCCCCTCTGCAGAGGATCAAAATTGTGATGGCATGTCTTCGGATCATCCTCTGGGATGTTTTCCAGATCGTCGCCAATAGCCCATTGCGCAGCTCTAGTGCGACGTAAATGAACAAAACAAAGCAAGTTTTTCAGTCCTTCTATGACGTCAAAGCAGCTTAGATTAGTGTAAATTAAGGCTCCTCCATAGAGGGAGCTGAACTATCCACCATTATGGAGCAAAAAAGTTCGCTGTAATTACGTAGTGTTAACATTAGCGNTCGCCAATAGCCCATTGCGCAGCTCTAGTGCGACGTAAATGAACAAAACAAAACAAAGCAAGTCTTTCAGTCCTTCTATGACGTCAAATCAGTTTAGATTAGTGTAAATTAAGGCTCCTCTATAGAGGGAGCTGAACTATCCACCATTATGGAGCAAAAAAGTTCGCTGTAATTACGTAGTGTTAACATTAGCGTGAGAGCTTGAAGCCCATTTAGATACTTAAAATTTTTGATATGGGCAATTGGCTAGCGATGAATTGGGCAACAGTTGAGAGAAAAAAAAGGCTTTCTAATGTTAAGATCTTATCAGATCTCAAAAGAAAGAAGAAATGTGTAATAAATTGCATAACTGGCAGCATGGAAGTGGAACTCGCTTATGAGAGGTAAATACTCTCTCATTTATTATTTATTGAATATATATATTTATATATGCAGTATCAAAACGATCTTAAATTGTTAGAATTTGCTTCTGAATGCTTGTTTTTGTTTGTTTCTTTAAAAATAAATTGGCGAACAACTTTTCTGGGTTACTTGAACAGATCAGTTCAAACTATATATCAAATATAAGAATTTTCATCGAAAGTTGCATTTATTAACTAAATATTGCTTTAAGCAACATTTAATCATTTATTTAACATTTTTGAGTGTTTGTGTGGCATAGTAAATAAAGGCCAGAGATTGACTGAATTCGTCAAACTTATCTCGGAAACGCCAAGTTTTGTACTGACTTAAGTGATTCCTTCTGTTTTCTTAAGATTAGATATTTACCTGTTTCTTATTGTATTCCATTTTGATCACTGATAAGTCAGATATTAAGTTTTTTAATCCTGGCTCATTTAATTTTCTTAGTTACTTATGGTTACATATCGCTTAAAGTTCTCACAGTTTGTTTATATTTTATAATAAGATATTTACTTAAAATGCGATCGTTAATACATTTTTGGACCTATCAATGTTGTTTTTTCTTTTTTTTAATTATTGCGTTAAATTGTTGGAATAATGAGTTTCTGTTGTAGAAAAGTTACAAGAGTATGTTTACAAAATTTAAATTCGGAATCTTTTAATGTGATTTAATTGAAGTATGAAAATATAAAACAGTATTTCAAATTTTCTTGTCGGTTCATTTGGACGAATCTTAACTTAAAGTAAAGTGGAAAGAGGTTAACAAAGTATTAAGGCCTCACACTATTCCGATTCTTCCAAAGAAATAGATAGGTTGTCCAAAAACAAGGTCTATTTTAGATGAGCTTATATCTAATGCAAATATTTTTTTTCTCCAATGCCTACCCGGAGAATGACTTAAGTCATACAGGCATCTGAAGGGCAGATTTGTTGGTCACTCTATCAGGGGCACCATATTAGATAGGCCAACGTTGCCCCCACAATATAAAAAATAGTACAGAGAATGAAAGAGCATCCATGCCTTGCTCGGGATTCGAACCTAGAACCTTTCTGATGCAAAGCCAGTTCCCGGTCCCCTTCACAGGCAGCTCGGCTCTAATGCAAATATAAATTTACTGATTCTTCTCCATTTGTTTGGTTTTTTAATTTAATAATTAACGAATCAAAAGTGTGTAGCAACTGTTTCGATCTAGTGATGAGTAATATTTTTATTTTAAATAAAAATTATAACAAACTATTAAATCAATTTGCTCAAGTACCAAAAAAAGATTTCCAAAAAACAATGTAAATCGATGTTACGGATTATTTACGGATTTTCCTATTCGAGGTTAGCGTCGTTTATAGCGATAAGTTGCCAAATCTTGTAGCTCTACAGCATTGGTGAAAATAATTTGTTCCAAAATGGTGGACGAGACGACCTCTTTAGTTCAGGGGCTAGTGTCAATTAGAGCCCCTGAATTTAAACATTAGAAAGCCCCCCCCTTTTTTTTTTATCTGTCTGCGGAATTCACCAAGACACAATTACCCATATTAATAATTTTAAATATCTAAATGGGTTTCGAACTCTCGCGCTAATGATAACACAACGTAACTATGGAACTTGTTTGCTCTATAATGGTGGTTCAGCTCTCTCAATAGAGGAGCTTAGTGTAGTAGAAGAGGAAGTTATAAACTCCTCATATTGTTCTGCCATCTGCTGATAATTGAGAGAACCTCCATCAGATATAAGGTGAATATTGTTAGATTTGTTGAGCCATCATCACGTTGATGATAGAGTGTGATGATAAATTCTAAAAATAACTTGTAAAAAAATGCAGTACTGAAGTTATTGTAAGTAAAGTGCAGGTTCCTAGTAGGTAGAATAAACTACACACAATACCCTAATAGTAGATTACGTTGTCTAAATTAGTTGTCTACTAGTGTTAAATCAAATTATTTTAGCAAGTCTCTAACAATGAAAGTGTCATATTACTTACTGGTGCATTCCGCTTTTGCAAAGAAAGGAAATGAATTGGACATTCGCATCATCTCCAAGATGAAGGCATTGGTATACGGCAACTGGTTTTTGTCCTCTATGATCGGATCTCTCTCGGTGCCCACACCATACATTAACTCCTTATAAATTTTTTCCTCTTCTTCTGGGTGTTCAAGCAAAGTGTCACAAAAGGCAGATATAAATATTGCCACAGCGAGCACACCGTCACCAATAAATTGAATAAGAGAGCCAGCAAGAATGTGATCTGTAAGGAATAATGAAGATTTCACTATGAAATTCACTTAAAGCGACATATGAAAAAAGTTGTCAACTATTACTTTGGACTCCATTACTTTGAATTATTAGACTCGATATAAAGCGTTTTAGATGAGAAATTTATAAAAGTTTAGATTAGGGGATTTTTAAAAAGTTTTTTTTTTTAAATAACATTGAAATACACTAATAATTAGTAAACATGATAATTGTTGTGTTATATTTTAAAGCAAATTTTTTATTTCATAAATTTGTTTTTTCCAATTGTAACCTGAATTATTGGCTAAGCACAGCAGTCAGCTTTAACCATTGTTTGCATGATAATTGATCGCCTATCAGAGACTGCATTGTTTTTGTCACAGTCCATTTTAGTGTAATGAGATAACCTGATACATAATAGTTAAGTTTCGGATTTAATTCAGTCTTGATTAAATTAGATTAAACAAACACGAGGGCAAAAATGAAAGGAAACAAAGGCAATATCAATTTGAGGGCTCAGTCGAAACGGTCCGGGGGCTACTTCGAATATCGAATCTATTGGGACTGTTTTGAACTGTAACTCTTTTTTCGAGTTCTTGAAACTTTCAATAAAATGGCTCTAACCATTTCTTAAAATTTATGATGAAATGGCAATCTCGCCAACAAACTTAAAAGTTGGAAAGTGCAAGAAGTATATGCTGGCAATACTCTGTTCAAATTTTCATGTTAAAATCGAAATAGATTTTATTTTGTATCAGGGTAATTAAACTTTGTAGCATAATAATAATAATAATACTATATTAAAATATTGGCTACATTTTTAAACGAAATTTGACTGTCTAAGATTAAAAACAATCAGAGGAAAAATTACTGAAATTTTCGAAAACAAAATCGATATTAGAGTTCAAATCCGTTTAACATGTAAAATTTTAGCCATACTCTAAGACCCTTTTACGATATTAATCTTGAAGCGGATCAGATTGTCTGATTTAAACTGTTTTTAAAGGCAAACTTTAAAATGTTTCAACTGAAAATCCTATGTTGGTTTGAATTTCGATGAATTACTCATTCTATTCTTAAATTGTTTAAAGCAATGTTTATCGTTTCATAGTTTGGCAATAAAGCGAGGCGATAAACTTACCATTGTGGTTCAGAAACATCCACCAGACAGGTTTGCCCTCATTATGCTATATCATTCTCTTTTCATCGACATGTTAGGTTTAGCAAAGTCCAGTGGCAATGCAAAAGTATAGGATGAATGACTCTCCTTGGTTAGAATTAACTTACAAAATCTTTCAAATCAGAATAGTTAAATTTTTGGATAGACGGAATTAACCTTTTGCTCTCAAAGAACCTTAATATGCTGTTTGAACGAATTATTTACAGTCAAATTACATTTGTACTCCCACAGAAAATTTTTATTCATGTTTTTGCTCCGAAGTCAAGCAAAAACCTTTTTACGCGTTATAATGACCGAAAAATTTAAAGCACATTTGTCCACAAAATTTTCGGATAAAAATAGGGTTGAGTTCGAAAAAGCACACATTACTGCAGATAAGCTTATCAAAGTCACTTATAAAAATGTATGTAAAAATTTTATAATCCAAACTGCATTTGATTTAGTAATTTTAGTGGACGTTGGATTATACTGGTGACAAGTACTTGATCTTACCTAATTCGGGGTGTGGAGGTTTATTTGTAGGGAGCAAATATCAAATTAGTTTTGTTCGGAAAGGCTATGGATTTTTTTCCAGATGGTACTTTTAGTTTAGTTTATTTTTGTCTGAATATACGAATTACGGGAGAACGTGTTTATAGATATGCATAAACACCCCTCTGATCCTTTAAAAATACAACTTAAGACAAAAAACGTATGATCTTAACGTAAACTGAAATGTATCACGTCTTCTTCCTACCACTCCTTAAGTAGAAGAGAAATGGGGATACTTAGTATTCACTCGAGTGAACTTCCTGGTTTGGAATAATTTAATAAATTGCATAAAAACTGTCGCGTAAAGTGAGAAATCAATTACAGATTTGAAATCAGCGACACGAAAATGCTCTCAAAAATCTCATGCAGCAGAAAAAATTCAAAACAAAAAATTGTCCTTCAGTGTAATTTTTAGTTTAATACCTGTAAAATACTGTGCAGTTGGATCATTCTTTGATTTCCTTACTTTTTCTTCCATCAAATAAGCATCTATCAAATTGCGAATATTATCTTCATTAAATGTTGATCTATGCCTCTTAATTATGTCATACAACATGTTTTCCATAATAGTAGCATATTTATGCATACTTCTGAAACTTGGCATCAACGGCATAATGAAATATCTAAAAAAAAATTTTTTAAAAAAGAACATATAAACAAACAGAAATATTATAGGATTTTTAAAAGCAAAAGAATGTAAAAGAAACGAACTTTATGCATCAAAATCATGAATTAGAATGTTGTATAAGAAAGTTCTCATTTTGAATACAAAATATACATAGTTACAGGGCTCGAAAAAACTCAGAAATTTTACCCTTCCCAGAGGATGACTTGTCCAACAATGTACCCGTCCTCCTTTGAAACTAACCCGTAACTTCTAAATAAATAAAAATATAATTTTCTCTTATTTATTACAAACATTTATATAAATTGCACAATGAATTAGCAGTTACTAGGATTACAAATACTAGAATTACAATATACAATAATAAACGAAATACTAGGTTACTAATAGTAACCTAGTATTTCTTTTATGAAATAATTTAAATGACAAAGGTCAATTCACCCGAGGGTACTGCGTTTTTTAAATGAATCAAATATGACGTTTGCCAGTTCCACAATCAAGCCAATGATTTACAGAGGTTTCGGCACAGAAATCTGAAAGGGTTTTCAATTTAGATAGATATTCATAATTGCGTTTAACGTTTCTTGTTTAAGATCAGTACGTAGTGTGTTTTTTTGTAAGCCCCTTTCAACCGCTGCAGTACTCCCAGTCAGAGAAAACATCCATTCCACCATGCGCAGTATGCTGCTGTATTTCCAGATTAGAGGGTCATTTTAGAAGTGAGGCGCTAGACTCTTGTAAGATAATAAAAATTGAAAATGTATCACGAACATTAACGGGGAAATGATCGTCCGCGCGGACGTCGGATTCGAAAAATTCATTGTCCGCGGGGAATTTTTGACCGCCGAGGACGGGCGGTTTTTCGAGCCCTGCATAGTTATATACAAGGTGTTACAAAACATTGGGTTAGTACTGTAAGGGGAGATATAATTTGCCTAATTAAACAAATAGCACCAGTTAGGGGAAAAGGGAGTTATACAATGAAACGAATAATAAAAGAGGAAGAATCATTGTTATTGAAAACTTTACAAGAAATGCGTAAATGAGCAACCATCAGCCACAAGAGGATTTTCACATTCAGACGTTGGAAGGTTTTAACGACACGTGATTTACCTATGTGCACCATAGAGTTGATATAGTAGGTANACATTCAGACGTTGGAAGGTTTTAACGACACGTGATTTGCCTATGTGCACATGTGAGAACCACATGCAAGATGCAAGAGATTGAGCAAAGCGCGAATCGCATTCACGTGCCACCTCACATGCAGGGCCGCTTTTCCGAGACTACCGTTTGCAGCCTCCACACACATATACAGCTTCTTTCGATCGAACATTGTTGTATATTTGAAGAGGATGAATGGCAGTGGAATAACGAGTTCTGGACAAAAAAAACATAAAAAAGAAGAAAAAAAACATTTTAAAAGAAACACCTTCTCACTACTCGCTCTTTATATGGCGGTAACGCATTGTATTGTTGTTGTTTTAGTAAGCTATATTATTTTGCAAATATGACCATTAGTTACGTAACACACTTTATATATTGTGTCAGAAAAAATGATCATTCTTTTTGGGCATTCATAACATAATATAATGTTTAAAATTTAATGAATATTAAAAATATTTGTAAAATAATCTTTGGAGTTTTTGTACATATATTTTCAAAGTTTTGCTTATGTTTAAGCCTAAAAACCAATTGTTAACAACAACATTAATCTATTCCAGCTTTATCTATCTTTGCAAGATTGTAAACAGCTGTCTCTCAGGGAATTAACATTGTCTGGATAATCGTAGGCTCCACGACACTGAAGAGTTCCAGCAATATTTTTGCTTTTTTCCCATTCATTTCTGTTTTTAGAGTCAGGCTTAGCTAATGGCATTGTTCGAGAAGTTTACATAAAGTAAGTGAAGTCGTTAAGACTTGACACTTCATCATCGCCGCTCTCGCACCATTCTCTCACTCTATTCAATTTAAGGATCCTAACCAGTTATAAATAAATCGCAAAATTCATCATCACTGTTTTTTAATTATATCTAATATTTTATAATTATAATAATTATATCTATATTTAAAATTGAGATAAGAGTCGTAACTATTGGATAGTCTTTTAAGTATTCCGAATTATTTCTTTTATATTTTATGTTATATAATGCGTTCTGTTCTTTAATCTTAAGAAGTAAGTACGTTTAAAATAATTCATGAAAATTAAAATTCAGGATAAATTTTTGAACTAATCCGTCGATGATAAATTAGTAAAAGCACCTGATTATAGCTCCATCAGAGTTTCCTTAATATTAAAAGTTGTTGCAAGATTTAAACTTTAATATTCAATTTTTTGTTTGATTGAAAATTAGTGATGGCATTCATACATGACCACTAAGCTTATTTTTTACCGAAGCTCTCTCTTAATTTTAAAAAAGGAAAGAAACTAATGGGAGAAAATTACTGAGACTCATTTTTAAAACACCTCTAATGCTCTTTTTTAAATAAAAATTACAACAGCTGGATTGAGAAAAATCAAAAAAAAATTATCTGTTACTTGTCATTGCAAAGAAGTGTATTACTCTTTTTAGTGTCATTGTATAAAATTCAACTTAAATTTAAACAACATTTATTTTGCATGCATCATTTCTAAAGATCTTATATTTGCAATTTTGCTTCATATAAAACTGATTTTTTACAATAATAATCTTCGTTGAAAATTTGGATTTATGAAGCTGTAAATTCACTCTATAAATTATACTGATGTAAAAGCCCCGATTTAGACAAGCAAGAGTTAAAATTTTGAAACATTACTTAGCAACTGTTCCACTCAGCAGTAAGTTTGGACCTGTTATGTTTTCAGTCATTTTGGCATAGTTTTCATTCAATTCTCTGATTTCTTGTGAAGAGATACCATTTTCTCCGAAACATGTTCGAAACAGAACTGTGGTGCATTTATCCGTCAGCAGTGAAATAAAATCGAGTGGTTCTCCATTCTTTTGGCGAAGAACTTCAAGAGTTTCTTTGATTGCATCATATATGGGCCCACAGCTCTCACCCTTAATGCTACTCATTCCACGTTCTCTGAATTGTTGAGAGAAGAACTTTCTGTTCACTTTCCAGGACTCTCCATTCAGAAATAGAACACCTAAAAAGATATACACACACTCTAAACAATGGGGAACAAATTTATACTTCATTTTGCCCCATTCGGGTGTGGAGATTTCAAATTCTATTATAGTTGCAGATTTTTCTTTTACTTTGAGTCCATTATTTGTCGAAATGTTCCAGTTCAAAAACGTTATATATAACACGGGGTCGCGTAAATGCTTCGATAATCTTCTAAGTGAGTTATGGAAAATCATAAGGGTTAACAAATACTCGGAAATGTTTTATTATGTTGCTAGAAGAGCATCCCGTTTATAAGTTTGTTCAGAAGCTCATGACAACGTTTCTGAGCAGGGAATCTTGATGATATGCCCTAACTTTCCTTGAGGCTCATCGTAACATCTTTTCGACCAGTCTTATAACGATAGCCGGAATAGCCGGGCTGGTAGGGCGTTGGGCCCCTGTCCAAAAGGCCGTGAGTTCAATCCCAGTCAGCCGAAGGCTCCCCGAGTTCAAAATGGTGACTAGTGCAAGCTAAAACTATTGGGGTCGCAAAGTCCTTCAAGATCCTCTAACAAATCAATACCTCTGGGGTTACTGGACTGGTGATTGATTATGCTCGTTCTGGTCAAAATTACGATCTGTAGATGGATGGATGGTGTGTGAATGTCCCTTATGTAAAACGAGATGCGACGTATGAATGTTGTTTTCGGATCCTCCCCTCAGAGATGTTTCCCAGACCGTTCCTAATAGCCCATTGTGCAGCTCTAGTGTGACGTAAATAAAAAAGTATCGCAGTTATATGTAACTTTTTTAACTTGTACATTCTCTTAAAGGCAGAAAATGAGCTGAAAATGTTATTTAAAAAAATCTGTTAGTTTGGTGAGAGAACTGAACGCAGATATGAAATCAGTCGCATGAAAGTATTTAAGATCTGTTGCAGAAATCTCATGCAACAGAAGAAAAAAAAATAGTTTCCCAGTGTAATCATATCGATGAAGTCAAATTTGAAGAGAGTCAGTTTTGTATGCGAGGGGGAAAAAATAAGAAAAATTAATAATTAAAATGTAAAATGCTAATGAAAAATTAAGAGCTATAAGGCCTTGCAGAGTTGCAGAACACGTAGCTTAAGCTATTGAACGGGATCACTAAAAAGACAAGACTAAGGGTCTCGAAGCCGCCTCCCACAGAATCCTGAAATAGTTGATGCATCCTGTGAGTCAAAGTAACTCGTTTCGTGTAACAATTTATCTAAATATGCCAGAGCTATTTTCCTAATTTTTTTATTTAGACTTACACCTTACTCAGACCTCAATGCTAATTGTGCAACTTCTTGAAAAAAAGATTTCGTAAAATAGCAGAGAATAAACTCTAAATTTTGCGAAATTTTGGGTGGTTCACGAAAAAAACCATGATTTTATGTGCATGATTAATTTAAATTTATTAAACCAAGAATTATATAATTAAGCGTAAGTTTTGATACCATTCGAAATAGTTTTTCTGCAAAGCGCAGTCATCTCTGAGTGTTATCCCACTCAGAAATGCATTAATGAAATAAAATAAAATAAAATAAATAAATTGTTTATAAACTACAACACTTTAACTACTACTCATTTTTGCTATCAATGCCTTTTATTTGAAGTGTTTGCTGTATAATAGAAAAGTAATTTCCTTCTTCTTTCTTTTACCTTCGATAATTTAACTTAACCCTAAATAAAGGGATTTAAATATTAATGTGATAGTATTTTATCACATTAGACGGCATCTTTAGAAAATGCAACAAAATAGAGAGCGAAAGAGTTTCTTTATAGGTAATAGTAAAGGATAGCTTGGGGTCAAGAGAGAATACAACATTTGGAAACTATTTTCTCTCTTGCGTCATGCATTTGTTTGTTTGTAGTTATAGACACAGAATGTATAAATTCAGTTATTTATAAGTACAGGAGCTCAAAGTTTATGGCCATTTCTTTGATGCTGTGAAATTTTTGAGAAACTCCCCCACCCCCCAAATGGTCTTAAAAATTAAATTAATTATAGGTAAAAAAGTTTAATACATTCCTCTTTACAAATCAATTTTAATTCCAAAAATATACAAAATCCCGCAAGCAACAAGGTGCCAAGATTTTTTGGTGGCAAAATCAAACTGTCTATGCTGATTGCTTCTAACCTGACAATATCATGTTTTTCTTGTTCTCCCAAATCAGTGGAAACATTATTTTATGCCGTTTTTTTTCAGAAATATATTTATTTCTGTACATTTAGTTTTTAAAGCAGTAATTAGAGGGCAATTTAAAATAATAAGAAAACCCTTTCATTTCATAAAAATAAAAACTGACGAGTTAAATCACACACAGTGTCGAACTACTCACTTCCTCTAAATAATACTGTTGCTATATTGTAATCTTTCAGCCTGTCAGAGAAACATTCGCTTTTCGTAATGAAAGCCTCCTTATTAGCCCTGAAAGAGCATAAGTTAACGAGCAACTTTCCAGTGGTTCTAAAACTGTATACTTCTCCATATTTCTTCCCCAACTCTTGCAGTTGCAAATGACAGGTGGCAGTTTTCAAGAATGGCCAGTACCCAATATAAGGCAAGCCAAAAGGTCCTGGAGGAAGGCCCCTGTTCTTTAAGATGTAGTAAATCACAGCAAAGGTTAAAGCAGTGATGCATACATTCCATGGAGTGTTTAGATTGCTGCTTAACAAAATATCCAGTGGCATCATTGGAAAGTTCTGAAACAGACATTTTTTTAAATAAAATTATTAAACGAAGGAAAAAATAAGTACTTGTAAGATGTTGAGTTAATACTTTTCAGTTAGGGATGAGCGACAGTCGCATAATTATATAATCTGTGTGAGATAGAACTGGGATTTTAAGGAATGCAATCCTGATATCTACAAATATTTTGGAAGAATTGACGCAGGCGCACTGCACTTGAAGTGCGCGTGCTTTAATTCTGCTCGTGAAAAAATATCAAACTTACGTGAATGAAAATAAGAGATTTTGAAAAATTACGCAAATTAAAATCGCTAACAGTGTGTAATATCGCTGAAAGCGCTAACATAGTTACAAAATTCCTTAAGCAAAAAACGCTAACGCAAAGGAATAATTCTCGTAAAATATGCACGCCCTCGGGAAAAAGTATCAAACATACGTGAATGAAAATACGAGATTTAGCAAAATTACGCAAGTTAAAAACGCTAACGTAGTGGAATATCGTCTTAATTTCGATCACAAAATTAGAACAAACATTTACATTTAGACGTGGATATTATGATAAAATTGGAAATTAAAATATCATGACAAAAATATAAACGTTAAAAATACAAACGTTGAAAATATAAACTTTAAAAATAAGAATTGCTGAAAATAATAAATAAAAACGTTAAAATTATAAAATATATAAACGTGGAAAATAGCTTTTTAAATTTATAAAACTAACCCTATTTAACTAAAAATAATATTCATAGAATATTTATATGAAAATGTCAATAGTAAAATAAGTTGTAAAAGATAAGTTATGAAAAATACGTAATAAAATCAGTCATCGAACTATTTCATAACTCTTACTTCGGTGTGAGAGTCACTTGTAGGTTTTCAAAGGGTAATAATATTCAATAGTATAAATTTCAATGTAATATTCTTTAGAAATAAAGCTTTAATATAAGATAAATAAAGTTATATAATTCTTGTTTATTAATTTTAGATCAGAAAAGGAGTTTTGGTTATTTTGAGCATTTGATAAACTTCTTATCGCCTTGTCTTGCACTGGGTGAAATGACTGCGAAGGCATCAGCTATCTTTTCTAAAACTACATCCTTGATAAGACAGAAAAATAAAATCGCGAAAAAAAATAATAAAATCGTGATATGATATAAGGTTTCTTAAATTAAATAAGTAAGTATTTTCTAACAAATTAAAAAATTTTTAAATTTTACGCATTCCTCGGAATATTTTTAAACAGTAACGAATATGGTTTATGTACCCTTTCAAAATTACTTTTACACACCCTTTAATTACTAAGGAATATCTGTCATTAAAGAAAGCTTTCTCCGCTTTGCAAAAAAGTACTCTTTAGTGGTAGCGAAATTTAAGTTATTTTTAGTTTAGTATTATTCATTTTAAGTCCTACGTTATTAACATAGTCATGATGAATATATAAATTAACATAGTCATGATGATACATTTAAACTAATATAGTAATGATCAATATACAGTTAATTATTTAGGGGGAGCAATTTGGTTAATATCTAAGGGTGTAATACTCCCGAGAATCACCTTTGTTCTTTTCCTCTTCCTGGGAGTATCTACGTGAGTAATAAAATGGGTGGGGGGGGGGGGCAATATCCCATCCGAGAGCAGGAAATTTATGATTGGGTTGAGATGTCTATTATCTTAGATGATCTCCTTATCCCCCCCATACGAGAGAACAAAGTAGCGTTTCATATAAACTTTTGAATCATTTACTCTTAGTGGTGTGGAAAATAATTTTAATTCAAATTTAAAAAGCGAAAGAAAATTCATTAAAATATAAATTTAGCTACCACTAGGAGAAATTTTAACAAAAAGAGTAGAAAGTTAGCAGTTCAGCAAAAGGTCGTGTTCCTGAGTTTCGAAAAAAGTCTTATAAAAATTTTATTTAATTTGAAAATGTCTGCATTAGTTCACTAACATTGAAAAAAAAAAGGTTTTGAAGGAGTTATTTTCCGTTCTCTATCAGTTAAAGAAGATTTTTTTTTTCTTTCAGAAATTAAAGAAGGAATTTATATGAAATACCTCCAGGTTTTCCTTCCAGTAAAAATTCAAAAACATAGTGGCCAAAGTTATCCCAACAGCTGGAATATTTTTGGTCACCAGATTTTTTTTGATTGAAAATTGCTTCTAAAGTCAACTTCTTTGAAACATTTTTTAATTAAGGAATAAATTGAGCAAAAACATCCTTGAAATGCAGTTACAGTTGGAAATTTTTTTTTATTAATATATTGCTTAAAGTTCAAACGGTTTGTTTACATTTATGTTAAGAAATCTACTTAATATGCAATCTTGCATACGTTTTTGATCTATAACTAATGTCTTTAAATTTCTTGTGTTAAACTGCTGGAAATATAAGTTTCTGTCAAAGAAAAGTTAATGGGAGTATGTTTACAAAATTTAAATTCTGAATCTTTTAATGTGATCTAAGTATGAAAACATAAAAAGTATTTCAAATTTCCTTGCAGGTTCATTTTGAAGAATCTCGACTTAATGTAAATGGGAAAGATGGTGACATCCTGATGCTATTTCAAATCCCCCTAAACAGACTAGAAAGAGCAAATTGTCCAAAACCAGGTTCAATTTTAAATAAGCTTAAATCTGCTGCAATTACAGATTCTTATTCATTTGCTTTTTTTAAAATTTTATTATTATTATTACTAAAGGACCAAAAACGTGTATAAACTGTTTCTGCTTTATAATGAATAATATTTTATTTTAAATAATAATAAATTTTGTAATGAATAGGTACAAATACAAAAAAAAGTTTCCAAAAAACAATGTAAATCGCAATGTAAAACACAAACATGCTTTTCTTTACGGTACATCCTAGTTGGCGTTAGCGCCGTTTGCAGCGACACATTGCCAAATTTTGTAGCTCTTCGCTTTGGGAAAAGCTTTTGCTCCGAAATGGCGGATAAGTCGGCATTTCCAATTCAGGGGCTTTAGATCAGTTAAGTCTCAGCTTCGGGTCTCAATATTAAGAAAAGTTTTTAAGAACAAAAATCTTTCCTCTAGGCTTAAAATAGTGAACGAAAAGAAACTGGTTGGTAAGCTTAAGTCCATTAATTAAACGTATTAAACTAATGGAAAGTCTGATTTTAATATTTCAGTGTAAATACTCAATTACTTAGTTATGCTATCTTCCAGTTCTTGAGCATCGCCATTAAGCTAAATTGTGCTTTTAAAGCTTATTTTTTGCTTTAAAATGTATTCTTTACTGTTTTATATTTACTTTTAACTTAATTTATTACAAAATTAGTTTCATTTAGCCCCGAAAAAACCCTTTCAAGTGAAATTCATTGGTTAGCATAGCAAATAATTACGCTGTTTGATTTTGAAAATTTTTTTAATTTGCATTATTATTCACAAAAGGTGAAATTGAGGTAATTAACATTTTTCTTTACGGTAAACATTTGTGCTAAACGCTTTAATAATAACATATTTACCATGATACCTTTCGAACGTGTAAGAGTCAAAAATTAAATCCACTCTCACTTAAACAATAAGAGTTTATTATACTTAACATACTGTCTTGATTTTTGACTGTACAATTTTAAAACTCGAAATGCTTGAAATTCAACTAATTTAGGAATGCGGACCAAGTAGTCGTTGAAAGCGTCTCGTATTTAGTTATAAATTTTTGAAGGCAAATGAAAAGAAAAAAATTTTTTTGATCGCCATTGTGAAATTCTTAAAATTGTTTACATATTTTGTTTCCTTATTTTGATTAGTGTTAACAGACAGTTTTTCTCTTCAAAAATATAAAAACTCATAACAAAATTTTTTTCAATATTAATTTTTGTACAGACGAAACAAAACGTACTTGTCCACTGAGATTCATTAGTTTCATAAAGCTCCGAACTTGAATTCATAATTATATGAAAGTGTGATTTCTATTAAAACTTAAGTGGTAACTAATATAAAAAAAATTCTACTCAGCTTCAATATTCATATATTACCATTCTTTTTAAAATAGCCCTTTTCCGGTGATAGCGGATTGCGCTAATGGTTTTCTGAAACATGGTGGACTGCGCTGCTAACATCTTATCCCCCTTGAGAAAGGTTGGTGTACTGCGCTCAAGGTAACTCTTAAGACTCCTACTTCAATTATGAAGTAAAACAATTTCTGATAGAAACGTCATCTCTCCGATATTTTTCACCGGAAACTAGAGTGCTATGTCAATAAGTGTTCCTCCATCTTTTGGTAATTTTCAATTAAAAGGAGTTTTTTATGTGTCGTAAATTTCGATATGTTTGTAATTTTAAAATGCAAACTGTATTTAAACTATGAAAATAATTAAAATTCGTTTTAAGGTGACAAGGAGCTTTTAAAGTTCTGAAAATCTGTCTAAATTTTAATTAGACAGATGCAATTCTTTCAGGAATATTGGTTAGAAAGTTTTGCCAGCTTGTTGTCTTAAATTAGTTAAAAAGTAAAAGTTCTGGGTGCAGCTCCAAATTTTAATTAAATTGTAAAAACCTTATTTTAATATTTAAAACTTTGATTTTAATGAATCTTAAACCAGTCCAAACTTCGGCATATTGTTTTTTTATTTCCACGTAAAATATTCGAGTTTTTACCGTTAACACACTAAAAAGTTAATGACTACAACTGTGACCAGAAGCTATGGTTGGCAAACATTATTTTTTTTATTGAAAAGTCGTATATCGATTTGAATCGGATTGATTCAAAATCGACTTGAATCGGATATTTTTTTAAATAAAATTTATTGGATTTTTTAAATTTACCATTCAAAGCATTTGATAAATGATTTTAATAATACTATTGTTTAAAAGAAATGGAACTAAAGTAGTTAATATTTCTTAAAAATGGATAAAATTATTATATTATTACAAACTAATCACTGTGTTTGATGTTGCATTACCGTTCGGCGAGATTGTATTGCGCCAGCCATCTTTCATCATAATGTAACCTTTTGAACTACTCACTCTTGTTCTTGTTGATAGAATTGTTAAGAGCGTATGGTCGCTCTCTAATGCGTGAACTAATTAATTACATTTGTTAAATAAATATTTGTTAATTATTATACAGTCCACATTACTTTCAATTTTAATTATTGAGCTATCACGGGACCGTACACACTGAGATAAAAAAAAATCACAATTATATTTTTCAGGCTCGGTAATGATTGTTAAAAATCGGGAGACACTTTCTCAACTAGATACCAAATGACAATTAATTAGTTTAGATAAGAAAACATAACTGAAAAACAAACGTCTCTCTGGTTTAAGGAAGTCTTGATATTCAATAAGATGCAGAAGCACTGCATTTTAATTAGCAAATAAAGTAAATGGATGTAATTGAAATAGTATGTTTTTAGCCAGGCAATTATTTTAAATATATTAAATGAAGAACTACCGTTTAAAAGTTTCATATCACTCTTATTCACGTATAGTCTATTTTGAAACATAATAATTTACATGAATATCGCTTTCGATATTTCTTAGTAAATAAATCCTCGTTATCAATGAAATCGGACTTAAAGGAATAGCTTTCAAAAGAATGTATTTATTTATTTAATTGTATCGAAATATTTTTTTCAGTTAATATTTCTTCATCATTTTGTTGAAATTATTGACTAATTTTTTTTTAAAAGATCACTTTTGATTTGCATTAATGCATTTTTTAATGAAATAATTAAAGGAACTATATAGTAATTTCAATGCGTATGCCTTTTATTATTTCGTAGTAAAAAAATCACTTCCTGAATTAAAATACATTATCAATTAAATTAGACTTTTAAAAATTCCTACCTTAAGGAATGTATTTATTAATTATACAGCATTAAAATATTTAAAAATTACATAAATAATTTTTTTCTAAATTCAATAATAATTAATGTTATAAAAACTATGTTCGTTAAAGCTAATGTTTTTATAAAAAAATTACTGCTTATTTAAATTAGTGATTTCTTTAAAAAAATTCAAATAATTTAAATTATGATTTTAATCATGACTAAAGTCAAGTGATTTAAATTATGCCTACACTAACAGAAGCGATCAGAAACTTATAAATCCAGTATACTTTTTTTATTTAATTTATGCTGTTTTTAAAGAAAAATATTAAAGTTGAATTATTTCGTCCATTTTTTTTTCATTTGAAATGATTTTTAACTAATTCTTTCTTCTTTGCTTTCTGTAACTTTGTAGTAAAAATTTGATTTTCAATATATAGAAAACTAATTTTAGGATGCTTAGAATTAAATGTTTACTACAAAGCTACAATGAACAAAGAAGAAAGAATTAAAAATCATTTCAAACGAGAAAAAAAAATTAAAAATAGACAAAATAATTTGATTTTATATTAATGTTCTCCTTAAAAGCATCATAAATTAAATGAAAGGTATACATTTAAAATAAAAAAAGGTATACACATAAAAGTATATATTTAGAAAAATATTTAAGCATCAATTTTGTTAGGCATAGCTACATCCCAGGATAAGTTAACAAAATTGTTTAAAAAAAATCTTTCTTAAGGCTGCTAAATCTAACTAACTGACTTCTATAAATTAGACAAAGATTTGTACAAACACTCATATTTACATAAAAAATATTGCATAATAATATTACATAATAATGATTTTACTTTCATAAAATCTATGCATTTTGACCTAAAATTATTATCAAATAAAATTTTGAAAAGATTTTTAAAATGATAGGTAGTAAGTTACCGTATGAGGAAACCTCTTCTTATTCAAAAAAAAAAAAAAATTCAATTTAGAAGGAAAGTATTAATTAATTAATGGCATAAATAATATCCTATGCTAAATTTGTGAGAAAATCGAGAAATAAAAATATCTATAAATATATGTGGGGGAAAATAATAAAAGAAAAAAAAAGTAAGTTTTTAAAGCAGTTTTTAAATTTGCTAAGAATACTTAGTTTAACGCTTAAATAAAGCATTTTTAAATGTATTTTATTATAATTGTAAATCTAATTCTGATTGCAATATCTCAAATTTAATAACTTGGCATATAGTATATTTTGATATACTTCTCGACCAAGTAGAAGCCGTTTGCCAAGATAGTGCTTGACTTTTTTAAATTGCACCCTTCATATGTCAATGAGAAGAGAGACCTACATAGAAAGGTAACCAACTAGAAGCGCAAATACTGTTTGGGGTGGGGGTCATAATTTAGGCAATTACTGAGTGCAGTCCACCACTGCCCGCACGTTTCCTACATAAAAATTTTTAACATAGTCAATGGGTTAAATAATCTACTCACTTGCTGTAAGCGTAAAAGCTTGTATTACTTCTACAGAGCAGCACAATTTTTATCATTTAAGCTGGAATTGAATTATTTAAGTATCAAATTTCTCTTCTTTTAGCTCTGTTATATAAAAGATGTTAACTGCAACGTTATTAGAAGTGTCAGAAGGAAATTTCATCGCACTTGGATGAAAGTTGGAGCACTGCCAAAATATAGAACACTTTCACTATTGTAATTCCATGCTAGAATCATTTCTATTTCAAAATCGAGAACAAATGATATTTAGTTGTTTTATGCATTCAAAATATGAAATCATTAGTAAAACTTAATTATCAAAATAATTTATTTTGCACGTTACATTCATTGTATAGTAAAAGTGTATTAAAGGAGTTTTAAGAATCCGAATTTTTATTTAACTTTCGGAAAGTGACGTATCTGTCAGGAAGAACATCTGTCACCTGCCACATATAGCAGAAAATTAATAAAAATGATTTCCAGGGTGCTTTTCTCTTTTAAACAGTCGGTTTATTTTGCTAATTGCGGACCCCGTCACTTTTTCACATTTTTATTCGATTTACCAAAAAAAAGAACCTGATATTTTAAATTTTTTGCACGTTATTTTTATTTTCTTCCTTCTTTTTTTGCAAATTGGGGACATGCATGATCGGCGAAACTTCATAGGATTGCCAGACTTTAAACGGAATCGATTGAAAATTTAGAAGTTATGGAGTTACCATTGTCTAAATATTATGTAAGCTGCAAAATCTTATTTAATAAAAAATTAAAAACCATTCAAAACATTGTTATATGCTGTAAATTTAAGCTTTTACTTCACCTGAAACTTAAAATGATGTACAGAAAAGCTCCTTTTTAAATCTTATTTCCTATCGAAAACGTCTACGTGTCTCAGTTTCTAGCCCAAGAAGAGCTAACGCTCCCATGAACTTTTTTCAAAAAAGATAAAAGAGATTTGTTTCATTTTTAAAAAAATTAACTTGGGGTGACGAGACATTTATTTGCACCATAATATATAAATATCTATGGATTCTTCTGAAACTAAGCAATAGCAATATTTTAAACAAAAATTGAAAACCATTGGAAAATATTAATTAGTTTGGGATTAAATCTTATCGTTTTTTTGAAGTAAATGCAGTTTTTACATTACTAAAACTATTGCATTTTCGCCATGCCGAAATGAGTAAAACTTCTCACATCGAATTTGCCGACACGTCAGCCATTTCGGAGCAAAACTTTTCATCAATGCCGACGAACTACACGATTTGGCAATTAATCGTTAAAAAAGACACTAACTTCAACTGGCATAATTCGTGAGGAAAAATGTGTTTGAGTATGTTGATTTGCATTGTTATTCGGAAACTTTATTTAATACTTGAAAAATTCATCAAATTTTTTTTATTATTGTTATTTAAAATAAAAATATTATTAATACTCGACAGAAACAGCTTATACACATTGTTGTTCTTTAATAATAATGAAAGAAAAAAAATAAACAGAGAAGAATCAGTAAATTTATATTTGCATTAGATTTAAGCACATCTTTATTTTAATACTATCTTTAATACTTTCTTTAGTAAAGTTGTTATTCAAGATGGTCGTGGAGTTTAAGTCTCCATAATTTTAAGATCAACAGCATGATGGTTCTAATATCACATTTACTTCATTAGATTGATATTTAAAAATTTTGTCACGAGTGAGTCATAAATGTATTCGTACGGAATCAGGATGGAAAGAAATAAAAAGCGGTAGCTTAAGTTTGAGCAAGGCTTAATTTTTTCAGTCTAAGCCGTGGTCGCCCAGGGGACAGAGTGTTCGCCTGTGTAAACAGAGTTCGAATCTCCACGAAATGGAGTTCCCTTATCTTCCGGATAGGGTTCAAAATCGCAAGACCTCAGTATTCGTTAACCCAAAATTGGGTCGACTGGTGAACGACGATTATAAAATCAAATCAAATCTGTTGCTTGATTCTACTTTAATTCTAACAAATATAATTAACGTCGGCTCAAAGTGTAACAATATAATTTTTATTTTGAATTACGTAGTAATAAATTAATCTATTATTACTCCTCCCCCAAATAAACTGCTATAGAAATATTTTGCTGCCAATTTTTTTTGTCGCCACCCAGCTATTGCCCTGCAATTGAAAGCTTCACGATTGATTCCAAGAAACTTATCTCCTTCTATTGCTAATGCTATGAACGTTAAGATAGAATATCAACAAAAAACTGATAAAAAAAAATTTATTTTTGATTTTTTAAAATTTTTTTTACAATATGTAGCTTATAAAGATGTACCCTATAAGGAATGTCAAATTTATAAAAATCTCAACTGTGAATTTTTGTCGTTTACGTTGATTTTTCAATTGCATTTCTGTATATGACGTCGTGAAGAGGTTAAGAGAGGAAGAACATAAAAAAGCTATCGAATCAACCATTAAAGCGATGACCTCCAGCTGAAACTTGAAGGCTGCTAACTTCGTCACCCGGCATCGAAACCTATTTCTTAGTAGCATCCTTACTTATATTAAATAATTCAGCAAATCCTTCATGACATAATAAAAACTATAAATTAAATTAAAAGGCTGTTATAAATTGTTTCCCGTTCTATTTCTAAAAAATATTTTTTTACTAATTATTTAATTATAGTGTCTAAAAAATATATTATATTGTTTTTGAAAAATTCATCGGTGGAGATGCCAACTTGCTCTCTTGCTCATTTATTGTATGACTCATTCTCGAATAGATTTGATTTACAGTTAATTAAATTGTTTTCGTAAAATGCAACTGTGGAGATACCAACTTGCTCTCTTGCTCATTTAATGCATAACTCATTCTTGAATAAATTTGATTTACAGTTAATTAAATTGTTTTCGAAAAATGCATCTGTGGAGATATCAACTTGCTCTCTTGCTCATTTAATGCATAACTCATTCTCGAATAAATTTGACTTACAGTTAATTAAATTGTTTTCGAAAAATGCATCAGTGGAGATACCAACTTGCTAACTTGCTCATTTAATGCATAACTCATTCATGAGTAAATTTGATTTACAGTTAATTAAATTGTTTTCGAAAAATGTATCTGTGGAGATACCAACTTCGATGAGAATTCGGTGAGATTTTGGCTATAATTCTTCCCTAATAATAAAAATAATTATGAAGAAAAATATTTTGCCTTTAGCGGAGTAGCGTTAACAAAACTGCAATTTAATTTATGAGCTTTTCCCAAATTCATATTTGATATAGAGTCACTTTGAAAAATCGATTTCTTTTCGAGAAGACATTTCATGAAAGCAGTGTGGAAAGTTAATTTCTAAAATTCTTTAAAGTTTTAAATATTTATTTCGTATTCATTATTTTAAATACATTTAAGAAAATAGTGTATAAAAACAGTTTTTCATAAACTTTTTATAAAAGTTAAGACAAATTAGCTACCGTTTAATAATTATAAAACGGTATCATAAAAGTTACATAATAATGCAAAATTATGTGTTACTTTATAGTAGAATAAGAGTTTTAGTTTAAAGGCTTTCATTTTGAATATTAATCAAAATCAAAGCACAATAATTGCCGAGGATAGTAATTTGAAAGAGTGATTAATAAATATTACTTATAAAAACCGTTTCATAAAAACATAAATAAATGACTTACAGGTATGAACCGTTGTTTCTTTAATTGATTTTATGCTGATGACAAAGATATCCGGACCTTCTTTGCACATTAAAAATTATATCACGCGATTTTTTCTGCCCATTGAGAAATGATGAAACGGCAAATTATCGTTTTATAATGTCGGGAAAATTTCATTCATAGTTGAAAACTTTAATCATAAAATCAGTATTTTCATATCACACACAAGTGGCTAAAAAACATTATATTACAGAAAAAAAAAGTTTATCAGTTCAGAAATTGACAACATTTCAAACTCATTTTCGACCTATATCTTATCTCGAAACTGTTGTCTATGTTATCTCTAGTTTATTTTGTCTTATTATTATTATTTTTTTCTTCGGTGTTGAAGACCTGTGATCCTAGAAACTCATCAGTTGAAAAATTTCAATTTGAAAACACATTTGGTTTCTCTTTTTTAGTCAATATAAGGTAAGGTTTATTTAAATGTTCCATTCGAATTCTTAAATGAAAGGGGAATATATGTGCCCAAAGGGTATGGAAATGGTCAAACATCTAAAAATATACGCTCAAAATATTCTTTAAAAAAATGCTGTCAATGATACTAAACTCAAACCTCCCACTTCCATACCTATGGTGATGAATGGAGCAGGGACAACTTAAAACAGAAATCCCCAGAATGGGATTTTCATTAAAAAAATATCCCAATTTGAGTGGAAGTTCTTTATTTTTTTATTTGTGTTAACGGGCTGCGTTGTAATCGCAAAAAGAAAAAAAAATTATCTTAAAAGTTTGAATATTTTAAGATATCTCTATTTCAAATAAATAAAATACAATTTGCTTGAAGAAAAAATATCTCGATAAATCGCGTCAAATCTAAAAATTAAAAAAAAAAGGGGCGTTTGACATTTCGAAAAAAACGTTATAAAATGATACCAAACTCAACTCCTTAGGAAACATCAAAAGGTCGGGTCTGAAGCTGAGTTTGGCGCATAAAAAAATTTAAAAAACCACCTCAGTATTGACTAACAATAATTGTTTCAACAAAATTAAAATATTATGCATGTAGTTCTTAATCGGCAGTAGAATATTAAGTTTAAGGGCTGCTGTGAGTAATGATATTTCTCCTGACCACTGTTGTCTCTTTCTTAGAAGATCTTAAATGAGCCAATACCACAAACTAGCAGTTATATCAAAACATTCTGGCCAAAACTCTAATGGCCACCGGTGACATAATCCCTACCAATGAAGAAATAATCAGATTTCGACAAAATATCTAAAATATCTTGAAAAGAAGTCCAGTTCATAACGCATAACTACACGATTCCTAAGACTTTCGAGTTTAATCAAAAAACACTATTTGAGATACCTTGAATAATGATACTATGTCGATCATTATTCGATTGCCATTTATTATCCTTTAATAATGATACTATGCTAAGAAGCCTATGAGGAAGTTGCTTCTTGATGGTAAATTTTTATTCTCAACCCATCACAGACTGTTAATTGTCGCAATTTTCTAACTACATAAGATACAGAGGCTCAATGTGCTCAAGCAGCCAGCAGCAATACAATACGATGGTTACCAGTAGAGTGTCTGATTACACGACACACACTTAGCACAATCTACAAACTCACACAGCTGATTTTTCTCTAGGAATAATTGAAATGATCAATGACTCCCTCGCAAAAACACTCCCACCGGATACATTTGGCAACGGCCCCACAAGGGAGATTTTAGACCGACTCCTGTTCATCATGTACATTTATGACTCTCTTATAAATAGGAACGATTTATACAGTTGCACTCTCCTTTTATAGAATGATAAAGAAGCCATCGTTAAATCGAAGGTCTCAAACCTAGCAATTATGAAATTCCCTGAAGAAAAAAAAATATGTCACAGAAATTTAGTGCAGTAACTGGAAAGTCCAGATCGATGCAGATTAATATCGTTATCCTTAAGATTAGGTGTGAAACTAAAGAACAATCTGCTTGTTCTTTTCAATAAAACCATTCGAACGATAACCAAAGAAACCTGTTTTGGTTAACATATTGCGTAGACTGATCATGTCACTCACGTCCTAAACAAATCAAAGGCGGTGACATTCAAACTTCAAGATAGACGAAACAAAATTAGACCTCAAGCATTAAAATCTTTTATTCTTATTAACTATCAGGATAGTCATGATCACAACTGTGTTAACGTATGAAAGCATCAGCTATATATGCTGAACATCCAATAAAACGAAATCCAGAGGATCAAATCGAAAATCCTTTTTGGTAAGATTTCGTGGAAAATAATTTCTGATTTATTTATTATTTTCCCAGGATTCAAGTTTGAAGCATTTGTTAATCATTGTTGTATTTGTTGATCATAAATCATCAATGCATTTGTTAATCATTATCATTTCTAATTTTAAAATCGATACGTAAAATTTGCATTTATCGATAAGTGAGAAATAATGATGATACAACTTTCTTTTTCAACATCACATTATGTAAAAACGATAAAACACGTTGTAGAGATGAGTACGGTCTATGCAAATAGATACTTTTTTTATTATTTAAAAAACTATCTCACTTGAATTATCCGATAAGAATATTTCAAACATTATCAACTTATTTTAATAACACAGTTCTTTTTTCTTATCGTACCTTTGTTACTCTATTTGTTGACATCTGATTATCGTTTAAATATACGTAAATTTGCAAATAAAATCATAATATTAAAATAAATGTAACTTATTTATTTTATAAAAAGAAAAGGAAAACGAATAAAGTCCCAAGGCTTTTGTACATCGACTTTAAAGTTTCAGTAGAGGGCAACATTATTATTTATTTTCTTTCACTGAACGCAACAGAATCCTGATTTTTAATAAGTATTTTACGTTAACTAATTACAAAGAATGCGTTTCTGTTGCAGATCACGAGGAGAGAATGCTACTGAATATCGTACCTCTGAGTAACACCGATCTACCAGTATTTATTGCAGTAATTGCTGTTGTTTTTAGCTGCATTTATTATCTTCTAAGAAATAAAGGATTACCACCTGGGCCGATTGGTATTCCTTATCTTGGATACTGGCCATATCTAGATCACGACACTGGTCACCTTCAATTGCAAGAACTGGGGAAGAAGTATGGCGATATGTATACTCTTAGTGTTACAGGACAGCTGTACCTACATTTAGGATCTATCAAAGCAGTTAAAGAAGTTCACGTTGCCAACTCTGATTGTTTTGACAGTAGACTTGTAGACTATAATATAATTAGCGCTTACTTTAAAGATGGTAAGCTTTTAATTATTTTTTGTTTGCATATTTTTTTTCTCCGGTAAATGATTCTTAACACAAATAGATTAAAGGTAGTCGAAGATGCAACGTAATTTAGTATATAAGAACACAGCTCAAATCTCAGTGAGCTGCCGCGAAGCGTCTGATTTTTGAGACCTATAAAAGGGGGGATGTATGAAGTGGTAGTAGAAATAGGGGAGAGGGGTTGCCAAGCACCCAATAGTAAAGTCATGATTGGGAAACCAGTCGGTTGAACATATGATGAAATCGATAGGAAATTAAATATGATTGAGATTAAACTAGATTGGAATATAATAATATTTACAGGGGTCAGAATAATAATAACATTTACGCTGATGTAATAAAATAGAAAAAAAGAAAATTAAAGAGAAAATATATGCAACTTCTTACATATTTACACGAGATTGGGAAAAAAACTGTTAACGACAAAGAAAAGGTTATATAAGCGATGAATAGTCCGGCTATTACCTTGTCTGTGACTCTGTTATGATGATAACACAGGCGTCCTGGTAATACCACTCGTTTCTATGTTGCTCTTAATTTAGTGTATTTATAATCTGTAAGTTATAAGTAAGCAACTTCAGTTGAGCCTAATGGTCTCTGCGTGGTGCTTTTAGATTTCAAATGCAAAAATAAGAAAGAAAGAAAGAAATTTGCTTATAACTGAAAAAAAAAGCGAAATTAGAAAGAAAAACATTGTCCTGGAAGCAAAGAGGCATTTTAAGTAGGCTTCGATTAAACTTTAAAAAAATTAGGTAATTTATGGATGAGATAAATTGAGCAGACGAAAAAATTAATTTATTTTAATTATGTAATCCCTTATCATTTGCACTTGGTCTACACACTTATTCAATAAATAAGTGAAAATTTAGTTTTTCAGTTTTCAACATCGAGTCATCAAACCGGAATACCAACGAAAACCATCTTGCTTTAGTTTACAGATTTGAAAAATTCCAACAAATGTAAATAAAATAAAATAAAAATATGTAACATTCTCAAAAAAATGCAACAAAATATTTTATGACGCTAACGTTAGTACTTTAACGTATTTTAAAAGATAAAAGAATACAAAAAAGGCATACAAAAACTGATACTGCGTCTACCAAAGTGTTTTGACTGAAGTAGAGATTGTGTCAAAAGTGCTTAACTTTTTGAAAATATTATAAAGAATTAACGTTATTGTTGTATCGAAAAAAAGCTCTTATTTTGTAAAAACTGCAGATTTAAACAAAAATGTGTTAGGGAAAGATCTTAAGCTGGTCAATTTTTTTAAAACTCAGTGCAAGATTTAAGAACTGTCAGAAACGTATGATCAACAGGATTCGAATTGGCCATGCATTCGCAATCCTCACATTTTCACTGGCATTTAATTTTTGGCAATTGAGCTCATGATTTGATCCTTTTTGTGAAGGATTAAACTCATGCTGTGCTATACAGAATATTTTATATCCTTCTTTTAATCCTATAAACAGGCATTGTTGGTATCAAAGGTGAAGCTTGGAAAACCTTAAGAAAGTTCTTTCTTGGACAATTCAGGGAGAGAGGAATGAACGTGATTAAGGATTCAGGATGCATGTACGACATCATAAGAGAGACAATTGGTGATTTGAAGGAAACAAAGGGCAAACCGGTGGATATTGCCAACATTGTTCTGACTAAATGTAATGCTATAATGCGTCAGACATTATTGGGAGGCGATGGAATGAGCGAGAAAGAGATGCGAGAATTTAATGAAAATTACTTTCAGGCTTTGGCAACAATGACGGCTCCCACACTTCTTCTCAGTGGAAATATAGCTAAGTACGTATGTTTTTATTTTATTGACTTGAATAATTATTATCTTTCTAATTGATGAGAGGTTATAAGTGAATCGAGCGGACATGTAATATTTTTTAGCATAGTTTTTGTGAGAATTGGGTGAGTTATTATTGCCGATAAGGGAGGGATGTTTTTGGTGACGATCGTTGTAAAAGCATGAATTCCGAAATGAATGCCTTGAAAGGAGATTATGTGAACATATAATAGAGTTTGAGAACTATTACTCAATTTGCTCTTCGATCAGATCTCTTTCATCTATTGCTTTCATTCAACTGTTTCATGGATTCTAGTCATTCTTTTTTTGCTTTAATTATCTTTTAATTCATTATTATTCATTATTAATAATTCATTTTTATTATCTGTTAATATTTTTGAATTATTTTATTATTTTTTTAAAATTATCCTTTTGCTTTTTCATTTCTGATTTTACCGTTCCTGAAAATGTTTGATTATTGCACTTCACAATATTTTGAGATAAATACACTAAACATTCTGTTTACGTTTCACTGCATTCATGAACTAGAAACTTGTCAACTTTTGTGTGTGTGGAATGGATTCAATTAAAGTAGTTGGACATTTTCTCTTACGTGCTTTGCTATTTAGGAAAATTTTCTTTAGAACAATTTGATTATGAAATAAGTCAATTTTATAGTCTGCAAGATCCTTTACATAAAAATCTATTATACTGTATTAATACACAGTAAAATACTGTTATTAATACACTGTGCAGTATTATCTTAGTAGTTAACCTTTCTAGAAAACATTTAACAGATAAAAAGTTTAGTTTATGGAATTTTTACTGTGTTAAAAACTAAAATGGTCTTAATGACTCTTCCAACCATCTTTGTATGTGTGATTTGACTCATAAAACAAAGGTAATTTTGAAAGCGAAACCTTCCAGAGGGAAAATAAACGGGTTAAACGGAGAAGAAACAAAGTCACAAAGCTCCATTATACATCTTTCAACAAAAAGGATAGTTCACATTTGTTTGGAATCACATTTCTTATAAACAGAAACACATTAAAACACCGTCCCATCCTTTTTCTCATTCATTATAGCCCCCCTCCGTAGAAGACTAATCGAAAAACACCATTTTCAATAGAGCATCACTGGCTGCGACCTCTTTGATCAGCCAGCGAAAGGGACCGAGGCGGTATTTGTCTTTGTTAAACTGTACTACGGTAAAGTGCTCGCTCAACTCAAATCGATGAGCTACCATCCTCTGTGCTGAGAATCAAAATTTTAACGTCTTCGGATTCAAACCCTGTCCCCATTCTGCGTTTCATTGATCTATCATTATTACTCGGAATATCACTTTCTATAATGATTCGTTTTTTAATCCACAGTTAATGGGAATAGATTTGTTTTAGGTTGTAAAAAAATATGTCACTTGTAACGAACTAAAAAAATAATTATATATCGCTATCGTTAACATAATTATCTGAATATGCTTTTCGGGATTCTTATATTATAAACCTCAACCACAACAACTGTTTCTTTACACTGATTGTTATATCGAAACAAAAATTTATAGAACTGAAATATTCCTANTAAAATACTATGTCTTTGATGATAATATATTATGTCTTTGTGCTAGAACATTGTGTTCATTGGCGAGCGAGCGCAGCGAGCCATGGTTCACGGCGTGAACCACATAGGATTGCGTAGCAATTCTCGGGGGTTGGCGAGCGTTAGCGAGCAGGGGGCGGAGCCTCCTAGTTTAAGAAAATTTTCTTAAGAACAATTTGATTATAAAATAAGTCAATTTTATAGTCTGCAAGATCCATTACATAAAAATCTATTATACTGTATTAATACACAGTAAAATACTGTTATTAATACACGGTGCAGTATTATCTTAGTAGTTATAAGCTTTCTAGAAAACATTTAACAGATAAAAAGTTTAGTTTATGGAATTTATACTGTGTTAAAAACTAAAATGGTCTTAATCACTCTTCCAACCATCTTTGTATGTGTGATTTGACTTATAAAACAAAGGTAATTTTGAACGCGAAACCTTCTGGAGCTTAGGTCACCAAACTTTTTTGATCATCGACCCCTACATAATTTTTCGAAATCTCCATCGGCCCCCATGAAAAGTAATTTTCTGTTAATTAAAATAAAACTCTATTAGATACTGTGTTTGTACATTTATTTTATAATTTTAAACATTTATTAAAGTAATAGTACATTGTGTAACAATAGTTTTATGAAAAATATATTAATGTTGAAATTTAAATACCTTAATATTTATTAAATACTAATAAGTAATTATGAATAAGTAGAAATAATAAGTAAAGTAACTGCAGATATATTGCTTCTTAATCAATGAGATGGGTGTGTCTGGTGTTCGCTATATTAGGTTCAAAATTGGTCAATTTTAATCTTAAATCCCCTCGAAACACCACATTTGATTTATTTCTGTTCTTAGTTAAGATTGAATTTACGTGACTGAAACCGGCTTCAACCATATAGGAACTTAGAAGTGCTAGCATAAACGGCTGAGCTATTTCGTAAAGTTTTACATATTTTCGCATTATATTTATATTTGTCCAAAATTTGCTTATTGTTAAATTTTCAAAAAGCGTCTTTGCTTCAAAATCCGATAATAATTCAGCAAGCTCATTTTGCAGATTGATGTTCACGTTTGCAATTTGAGCAGAAAATAGCGCAATAATCCAATCAGGGATGTTAAAGTTTTCCAAACTACAAAGCGCAGTTTAAAATAGTCGCTCAATTTTTGAAGATGATGTGCATATATTTCCAAGTCTTCTTCTTTTATTCCGTCAGTCGCAGATTTGAGAAATGCTGATAATCCTTACGTATCAATGAAGATCTAAATAAATTTAATTTTACTTGGAAGCCTAACAGTATTGTTCAAGCTTCGATAATTGTTACATCTTTTCCTTGCAGCTTTGTTTGAACATTATTAAATTTTCCAAATAAGTCCGCTAAATAAAAAATATGGTTCTTATTGTTTTGGAGTTCATCACTCAGAACAGGGTTTATTTCGCTGAGAAATTCGGTCGTGGAGTCAAATAACTCAAAGAGCCTTTGCAAGCATACACCTCTACACAACCATCTAACTTCGGTGTGCAGAAGTAATTGGTTAAATAACTCGACGTTCTCTTCACAAAGTTTGGAAAATATTCTTGATTTAAGAGGTTGGGCTTTAATTTGATTGATACACTTAATACAAAACTGTAAAGCTTTAGGTAACTCTGGACTCAGACTAAGTTGTAACTCTGAACTAAGTGTTAGTAACTCTGAACTAAGTTGTTCCTTTGCAACACACAATGAATAGTGCATATACCGGGCACTTTTTCTTTGAGAAATGTAGCAAAACCTCGGTAACGCCCTATCATATAGCAGGTGCCCCATCTGTGGCTACCGCTATTATACTTTCAAGCGGAATATCATATTTATTAATTTATTTAAATATTCTTGCAAGCATCTAAAAATTGTCTCACCTTCTCCATCAGTTTCAAAATATTTAGCAAATAAAAATTCATCAATGACTTGTCCTAACGTACATCATAATAGCAGAAACGCCAAAAACAGATTCATCAAGTTGAATAGAGCACTTGCAATTTTAAATACGTAAAGACTTGTTTCACCGCAATAAATATACGTTTTATGTTCTATAAAGAAACTGACATCAAGTCAATTATAAAAAAAATTCACAAATTTCACAAACTCAACTAAGTATGTGTGATTTGCGTATTAAGAACTGTTTTTTCTTCGACCCCCAATCTACCCTTCCAATTCGTATCGACCCCCTGGATCAGATCGACCCCCGCTTTTGTTAAATAGACCCCTGGGGTCTATATAGACCACTTTGGCGACCTCTGTTCTGGAGGGAAAATAAACGGGTTACCCGGAGAAGAAACATAGTCACGTCTTTCAACAAAAAGGGGCAGAAAAACTTTTGCAGTATTCGTTTACATTTGTTTGGAATCACATTTCTCATAAACAGAAACACATTAAAACACCGTCCCATCCATTTTCTCAATTTCCCCTCCGTAGAAGACTAATCGAAGAACACCGTTTTCAATAGACCACTCTGAAGTCAAGCATCACTGGCTGCGACCTCTTTGATCAGACAGCGAAAGAGATCTAGGCGGTATTTGTCTTTGTTAAACTGTACTATGGTAAAGTGCTCGCTCAAATCGATGAGCTACCATCCTCTGTGCAGGGAATCAAAATTTTAACGTCTTCGGATTCAAACCCTGTCCCCATTGTGCGATTCATTGATCTATCATTATTACTCAGAATATCACTTTCTATGATGATTCGTTTTTTATTACACAGTTAATGGGAATAGATTTGTTTTAGGTTGTAAAAAAATATGACACTTGTAACGAACTAAAAAAATAGTTATATATCGCTATCGTTAAAATAATTATATGACTATGCTTCTCGAGATTCTTATATTATCAACCACAACAACTGTTTCTTTGAACAGATTGTTTCATCGAAACAAAAATTTATAGAACTAAAATATTCCTAATGCTATTGGGACCCAATTAAAATTTTATCATTTTGACTGGATACTATTTTAGTTTTTTCCATAAGCTTATTTTTAAATTTTTATTGAATTTTTTTTTACTATAAAATATCTTTTGCCCATGAGAATATATTCAGCAATGGTGCGGAAATTAATTCTCTCTATCTCTCTGTAATAAAATATCGTAAAAGCCGCGACTGTTTTGTGTGTTCAACTTGTTTTGCTGCAAAAAAACTGTAAGACTTAGAGACTTGAAATGACTAAGGATTGTAGAAAATGTACATGAAGTAAGATGGAATAAAAAAAGAATAATATTTGACAATTATTTCTAGAATTATTAACTTGTAGGAGGAAAATAATATGTTGGGTCAATCTCTGTCCAGTTGAAATGCAACAAGGGAGTTGACTAGCTAAAAGAGCCACTTTTGTTTCGAAATTGTTGCAAATCTAAGTGCTTTTTCTTGAAGTGCTGAAAATGACGTTTCATTTATTTCTTCCTATTGAAAGTCACACACCGTATTCCTTAGGTTCAATTCTTTTCGAGTACAGATGATTATTTTTCAAATCTAGGTATTAGTCTATTTCATTATGATTAACAGATAATCAAAGTGTTATTAAGTAAACCTACAATAATTGTATATTTAAAAACTAAATGTATATTTTGAGTTTTTGTGCGAAATATTGACGTTTAAAGTAGAGAAAAAATATCAGTGGTGAAGAAGATATTACGGAGGCTTGGTGGAGCTAGTGACTCCGAGTTCTTTTAAATAGTTATTTTTAATTCATTATTAAAATTTCATTCGTAGAATTCTATTTCACGTTGAATACAATTATACGTAAAATTTAACTTAAAAGTAAATGTAGCTTATTAAAAAGAAAATATAACTTTTTTCTCATTTAATAATTGTGAAATGGCAAGTAAATATCTTTACCATAAAATTTTGCATTTTAACGTCATATTAAGTGCTTACTTTATAATATAATTACAATACTTTACCTTTTAATTCTAATTTTTAATTCTGAATAGCAATCAAAGATTACGCTATACCACAGAGGAACATTTCATGGCGAATTCTGTTTTACCTACATTACAAATTTTAAGTATGAAAAAAATGAAGTGCAAACAAATCAAGAGCTTCACATATTGAAAATTCTTTTCACACTATCAAAATGCAAACAAATTATGACATGATTACTTCCACGCTGCTTAATCCTCTGCTCTAATTAATTTGCATTTTGTTATTCTGAAGAAGAAAAAAACTACATTTGAATTTTCATTAGATTTAGCAGAAATTAGATTTTACTTCATTTTGCACTTAAACTTTTAAATAAGTAATAGAGGTGAAACAGAATTTTTCATGAAAATTTTTTCCTATGGTATAGCGTCCTCAGACGGTATGATAAATGAATGTTACAGTTATAAACTAGAAAATAAGGGAGTAAATATGTAAATAATATTCATCTTATTCTTGACGGAGGTTCTCCCGATTATCAGCAGATGGTAGAACAATAAAAGGCGTTTATAACTTCCTCTTGATGATACGAATGCATTGATTTACACAAATATGAGCTGCTATGACGTCATAGGAGGACTGCAAGACTTCCGGTTTGCTTTGTTTGCTTTTTTAAGATGCTGGTTGAATGCAGGAAAATTTCGTAATAAATTTTATTAATTTTATGCTGATGATAGCCTAAGATATTTGGAACTTAAAAGTCATTTGATTATAACGAGATTTTTCCGTCCAATGAGAATGCACGAAACGGTCACTATTATCAAATATTTTTAGTTAAAAATACTTGCGTTCTTTAAATGTATTGGTGTTTGGAAATGCCCCTGAATTTTGGAAAATGAGTCTTAATAAGAGAAAGTAAACGGTGTAAAATCAAAGTAACTACACTGTAAAAGATAGGGTTTCTCAAAATTGTGCAAAAATGTGTCAAAGTAGCTCCAAAACAAGTATAATTGAATTTGCAAACGTCATGTACTCATTATTGCATATAGTGTAATACGTAATACTCAAAATTAACCATGTATTACTCAAAATTGGAACAGCTCTGATGGAAATAAACCTGCTGCAAAGGTTGATTACAGATCTTAAGATTTCTGAAATAAATTTGGAATGGAGGTAAATTTTTATTTAATTAGATTTTCTTTTCGTACACTTCATCTAATAAGGTTTGTCACAATTGATGATGATGTGACATTTTGTGTCATTTTTGAGACAATGCAATTTGCTCAAAAATGAATGTATGCTATTTCAATTTTGAACACATTACTATATACTCAATAATGAGTACACGAGTTTTCAAATTAGATCGTATTTGTTTAGGAGTTCTTTTTATAGTGTGTTAACCCTTTGCGCAATTTTGCAACACATTAGTAACTAAGACATCAGGCAGAGTATTATTAAAATTTATCTGCTAGTCTGAGGTCATTTATGAGCCATCCAGTGGCGTACGCAGAATTTTTTCAAGGGGGGTGTTCATAATTTTCCGAAACCACTAAAAGAAATTCGAGTCTGTAATAAAGCACTATTATTTCCCTAATTTAGACAGCTAGACAATTTTGACTTTTTATTTAGACAACATTGTTTAGTTAAATTTTGATTTGATTTTTTAAGTTTAAGAACATAATGTAATATATTCTAAAAAAAGTCCAATGTCATATGGGTGGGAAGTAACACTTTGAGGGCCACTTTCACATTCATCAGATTTTGTTATGTTAAAAACGTTTTCTTCAACGGAAATATCACATTTCTGTACAACAGAAAAACTTACATTGGTACTAGATGCTGCCACCTCACTAATTTCAGGCATCGGTTTTTTCGCAAAATAATTAAAAATTGTTAAATTCTTGCGTTTTGACATCCTAAAGATCCAAGAACAGCAAATAAATATATATATATATGGATTGGTACAGAAATATCCGCTATGCTACAATCTCAAAGTTTCGAGCTGGAATTAATAACTTCAACGAGCACAGTATCTCCAATGGTATTGTTACTGATTTCTTCACTAGTCGAAATAGTGGCGGCGACGGGTTCGGCGATTGTTGTAGTAGTTAATTTACGTCGCACTAGAGCTGCACGATGGGCTATTGGCGACGGTCTGGGAAACACCCCTGAGGATGATCCGAAGACATGCCATCGCAATTTTGATCCTCTGCAGAGGGGATGGCACTCCCGCTTCGGTAGCCCGACGACCTGCACGCGAAATCGAGCACTTTACGGTAGAACAGTTTAATGAGGACCAATACCGAACACTCTCAGTCCCTACGCAGGCTGATCCAAGTGGTCACCCACCCGCGCACTGACCGTAGCCAGTGATGCTTGACTTCGGTGATCTGCTGGGAACCGTGTCTTAACGATCAGTCCACTGCGGGACTTGAATGAACTTTTTGTTGAGATAAATCAAAACAGATTTAGTGGCAAGCTCCGAAAGACAAACGGGAGAGATAACTCTTAGTCTGACTAACTAACTCCACTGTACTCCGTTCCCCCTTTTATATAATTTTTCACCGCTTCTCCAAAATTCTCGAATTGTCTCAAGACGGCAGAACGTCTAGGATTCCAGAATCATCGCGTCAAGACCTCGCGAATGACAACAGCCAGTCTCGAAAACTATACTGGTAGGACAGAAAGGAACCAAAAGCACAACCCTATTATAGTTAATGTTTTTTCAGTATTCTGAGAAATACCGTGAGAAAAAAAAGTAGGCATAAGGCTAATAAAAATATATAGTCTGAAAAAATAATAGCTCGCATAATTTCTACTAAAATTTTTATTTTTGCCATTTTGTCTGAGCTCAAGGGGGGTGTTTAAACCCCTAAACCCCTCCCTTGCGTACGCCACTGGAGCCATCCATCTTTAAGAGTTAACTTTAAGATGGTACTTTCTTGTAGCTGGGTGAAAAGATATTAAATACTTTATATCCTAGATAAAGATGCTTCGCTACCAAATCAGAAAACGTATTGAAGAGACTTACTTCAGCTCCTTATTGCTTAAAGAATAGTGGTAGCTGAAAATCGTTGAACGTTTAGAAGTAAAAAGTATTACATTTCTAATGGTTTGTAACATTTTTGGCAGACACGTAAAACTGTTTTGGAAAGAGTTGATAAAATAAACTCTTATAGTTTTACGTTAATCTTAATTAAACCTATTTTAAATCTCTGTAAAATATACTGTTTGTTATTCCGTAGGTATTTTATTATTCCTTTCACCAAAGGCTTCAGCGAGAGTAGAAAACAGCATTTTTACATGAGAGACACTTTGTACAAAGTTCTCAACAGAAGAAGGAAAACATTTGATGAGGCTAATATACGGGATTGTTTTGATGCTTTTTTGAAAGAAAAAATGGACAGGAAAGCTAAAAGTGATCCAACAGCAAAATATTTTACAGGTGCTCATTAAATTTGCTCCCCTTGTCATAACTAAAAGCCAATCTATAAAATTTTTTAGCCTATGTATCGATGCAATTATTAGTTACCCATTCTTTAGTATATAACACAACTCGATTCTAACTTGGGGTACCTTTTGATAGAGTACGGTTAGCATAATCGGTATCTTTGTCCTCGCGAATTAAATCGTTCTTACAAAAAGCCAGTATGTCTCCAAAGAAGGACATGAAGATTAAAGTTTTACGATTTTTAGACATGATGATGGCAACGTGTTCAGCATTGATTCACCATGTTGCAGGAACTGATTTAAGCTAACGATTATTTTTTCTTTTTGAATTCAATTATAAAACTTATTTGCCCAAATATAAACCAATTTTATAATTGGATGCAAAAATCGCTATGCTAAGTAAATATTTAGTATTTTATGCCATTTGATATAAGAGTTATAAAAACTTTTGAACTGTAAGACTTACAAATGTTGAATGTTAAAATAATTTCAAATCACCTTGTTATAAATGGTAAAATCCAAAAACGGTCAAGCAGTTATTAAAAAAATATTTCTTGTCAGAAAAATTACCTATTTTTAAATATTTTTTTCGAAAGAAACAAGATAATTATAATTTTAAATCAAACTATAGCAAAATATTGTTTTAATGAAGTTGAAATTTCAGCTACCGATATTTATAGAAATCTATTTCATAGTTCACTTCTAAAAGATACTTCGGAATATTAATCTTCTTAATATTTCACACGTCAATTTAAATCTGTTTTCACAAATAGAAAACTGTTATAGTGGTATTTGGAAGGGAAAACAATCGAAGAAAATGCTTTATTCCTTACAAATATATCGTAGAAGACAGATTTGTTCTGATAAGCAACGATAAAGCTAATATTAATATTTGTGTTACTAGTTTTTATTTGATAAAAAAACTGCTCTCAAAGTAAGGACTGGTGTGAGTTTATCTTGAAAACATCAACTATCACTCTTTTTATTTGTTAAAAACATTATAAATACCAGTCATCCTTTTTTATTCTAAAATTATTAATTTCAGTAAACAGTTTTTGGCTTCGATAGTTTTCTCTTAATAAATTTTTGCTACACAACCTGTTGGGTTATAATGTTTTTCCTTTTATCTAACGTAGTGAATGTGGAGAAAACAAAATATATGTATTGTGGTACAATGGAAACCATCCCTAAATTGTTTAAAATAGATTCTTTTAAATTTGAATCTGTAAAAAATTTTACTCATTTAGGATCAGAAATAAACTATCAAAATGACATCAATCCTGAAATCAAAAAAAGAATAATCGCAGCCAATCGCTGCTTCTATGGTTTAAGATCATTATTGAAATCTCACTTAATAAAAAGAAAGACTAAGATCTTACTTTATAAGGTATTAATCAAGTCAGTTTTGACTTATGCTTCAGAGACATGGACTTTAACAAAAAGGGAAGAAAAGTTATTAGCAACCTTCGAAAGGAAGGTCCTACGAACCATCTTTGGCCCTATACTCGATAACGACAACTGGAGGAAAAGATATAATTTTGAAATATATAGAATCTTTGATGGCGATGATATCATTAAATCTATTAAATTAAGTAGAGTGAGATGGGCCGAGCATGTAGTGAGAATGAGCCCAGAACGAACAGCATTGAGAGTCTCTAATGCAACCCCCTCCAATAAAAGGCCAAGAGGAAGGTCCAAAAAGAGATGGAAGGACTGTGTGGATGAGGATTTTGGCACCCTAAAAGTAAAGAACTGGAAAACAATTGCTGGGAGAAGGGCAGAATGGGAAAAGCTTCTGAGAAAGGCCCAGGCTCACAAAGGGCTGTCGTGCCAATGCTGATGATGATTTTATCTAACGTAAAATACCATGCATTAACACTAGACAGACTGAACTTTGCTGTATACCTAGAAGGACTAAAGGGATCAGTGTGTGCTTTTCCCAGATAGTTGGCGTGTAAATCAATTAGACATACAAAATCTTTAAGTAAAACTTCAATTAATTTAATAAAACACTTTTTACAGACTTGATTATCATCATCGAAGTTCTTTGATTTTTTATTTTATTTGGTTAACGAAAATATTTGATTAAATGGACTTTTCAATTGTACTTATGCATTAGTTTCAATTGAGTTTTCTTTTCCCAATAAATAATAATTATATATACGTTGAAATACTTTTATTATTTTTTTTATAAAAGATGGGGTATCTCATACTTATTAAAAAGGAACCTTATTCATAAATATTATAAAATACCTTTTTTACATACGGGGCCGCTCTGGCCCTCTCGTCATTCTAGGTATATAAGATTCTAGGTAGATACGTTCATATAAGGCCAACACACGAATGATTAAATAAGTAATTAAAAGGGATCAAATTATGAAAAGTTAAAAATACTCAACATTTTCACTAAATTAACTTTTGAATTACAGCGAAATAAAAAACGAGTGGAGTTCTGGACGAAATGAAAAACGAGTATGATTCGACATTAGGTTTAAACTTCGAAAATTATTTCAATTTGATCAAAACTCTTATGCAAAGTTACTAAAATGAACAGTGCAAAAAAAAAAAAAAAAAAAAAAAAAAAAAAAAAAAAAAACGGACCACTTTGAATAATTTTTGATCTAGTGATTAGATTTTCACGTTCTAAGTCTCAATCTTGCTCTCAATAGCATATTGATCTCAAATATGCAAATTAATTAACAAGTGCAGACGATATTTTAAGTTATGAAATCAGACACAGAAACGTACTTTCTCTGCCTAAACATCCTTTTGTTCGACGGAAACCTGACCCCCAAAGTACAGGGGGTAGCCATAATCTGGGAAATAGGGTCCCAATAATTTGGTTAGAAAAACGCTCCAAAGTTTGGACCCTTTAATGTTTATTTAACTTTTTATGTATTTCACTATATCTCAAGAAATTTTCAAGCGAATTGAAAATTTTCGCACACAATTATAAAATTCTTATACCCAAAGATGAATTTTCCATAGATTAATTTTCATAGAAAAATTTCCATGCTATATATCAAAAGATGAATCCAGCAAAAATGAATTTTAGTAAATATTTATTATTTTTTATTATTTCATTTAGTAACAGTCGAAAATTTTTGAATTGTAAGGTATAGAAATTTTTACTCCATTTTAAAGTATGTAATTTTGCAACTTACAATTCAAAGTCTTCTACTATGAACCATCATTAAATAATAAAAAAATAATAAATATTTTCTAAAATTTATTTTTTACATGGAATTATTCTCAGATGAACGAAATTTATAATCGTGCGCAAATATTTTTATATTCGCGTAGAAAGTTCTTGAGAAATACACAAAAGGTAAAATTCGGGTTCAAACTTTGTACCGCTTTTCTGACCAAACTATGGGGACCCTATTTTCTGGAGTGCGGCTACTACCCTTTATTATGGGGGTCAGAAATCCGAAAACGTCTAAAAAAATATTTATGTTTATTCAGAAAAAGGACGTTTTTGTGTCAGATTTTATAATTTAAAATATCGTCTACACTTTTTAAGTAGCATGTTTTAGGTCACCTTCTTGAACAATAAAGTTCTGGAACGTGAACACTCGATCATTAAATCAAAAGTTATTCAGGGTAGTTCATTTTTTTTTTTGTGTGCACTGTATTTAAGACCTTGCTATTTCCATGTTTGCTGTTACTAAGTTATTGTTTTAATTTTCTTTTTTTACATATTGATAAAAAAAATTTCAGATGAAGCTTTTGTGGTTTCTTTAATTCAAATTATTGGAGACGGTGTGTATTTTATGGCAATATTTATCGGAGCGTTTATTCGGGTTCTGCTCGAACATCCAGAAGAGCAAGAGAAGGTGTATTCAGAATTGCTTGAAGTAGTTGGTGAAAGCAGAGAGCCCGGAATGGAGGATAAAAGCAAACTAACCTACACAAATGCTTTCATTTCGGAAGTAATGAGAACAACGGNAAGAAAAATATGTGAACTGTTTGCAATTTCAAATTAATATTTAAATGTACAGGTTTAGAATTTTCTACAGTGAAAAGTTTTCGGAACTTCAGTATTCAAAAAAGTATACAAAACCTAGACGTTAAAAACGTATCCAATGAGCGCGCAAAGCGAGCATTGGATTGCGAAGCAATCCGAAATGAACTACGAAAGCAGTTCCGGGGGTTGGCGAGCGGCAGCGAGGAGGGGGCGAAGCCTCCTAGTATTTATTATTTTTTATTATTTCATTTAGTAACAATCGAAAAATTTTGAATTGTAAGTTATAGAAATTTTTACTCCATTTTAAAGTATGTAATTTTACAACTTACAATTCAAAGTTTCACAACTATCATTAAGTAATAAAAAAATAATAAATATTTTCTAAAATTTATTTTATGCATGGAATTACCCTCCGATGAACGAAATTTATAATCGTGTGCAAATATTTTTCTATCCGCTTAAAAAGTTCTTGAGAAATACACAAAAAGTAAAATTAACATTAAAGGGTCCAAACTTTGAACCACTTTTCTGACCAAACTGTGGGGATCCTATTTTCTGACTACTCCCCTTTATTATGGGGGGGGGGGGATCAGAAATCCGAAGCCGTCTGAAAAAAAATTTATGTTTTTTCAGAAAAAGGACGTTTTTGTGTCTGATTTCGTAATTTAAAATATCGTCTGCACTTTTTAAGTAGCATGTTTTAGGTCACCCTCTTGAACAATAAAGTTCTGGAACGTGAACACTCGATCATTAAATCAAAAGTTATTCAGGGTAGTTCATTTTTTTCTTTTTGTGCACTGTATTTAAGACCTTGCTATTTCTATGTTTGCTGTTACTAAGTCATTGTTTTAATTTTCTTTTTTTTTTTGATAAAAAAATTTCAGATGAAGCTTTTGTGGTTTCTTTAATTCAAATTATTGGAGACGGTGTGTATTTTATGGCAATATTTATCGGAGCGTTTATTCGGGTTCTGCTCGAACATCCAGAAGAGCAAGAGAAGGTGTATTCAGAATTGCTTGAAGTAGTTGGTGAAAGCAGAGAGCCCGGAATGGAGGATAAAAGCAAACTAACCTACACAAATGCTTTCATTTCGGAAGTAATGAGAACAACGGATGTTTTTCCACTTCTCGTTGGATTGATCTGCAACAGTAAGAGCTGAAGTACATCTTTATATCTTTTAACAAATTAAGCTCAAAATTTTCCATTTTGTTCTTTTTCTTAAAATAAAAAAAAGACATAAAGTGTAGTAGTTTAATCACTTCATTCCAAGAAAATGAGGACATTTTGTATACCATAATATATTATTAAAATATCAATAAATTCATCAAAAATGATTCGAGGGAGGTTTTATTAAACTAAAAGTGGTAGTCAATAACAGAAAATATTCACTCAGTAAAAGCACAAATGTCCAACCACATTTTTTTAAAGCAGTTTTTTGTTACTACAAGATATTCCCTCCAAAGGGACTCACTAAGTTTTCACAGCATGTTAACAGTAAATATCAACCTGAACTAACTCTTTTATTTTTATCAATTTATTTGCGCATACCAGCCAACTTTTACGTCTTTCTAAAAAGTTTTTTTCTGTGATAGTGAATATTTTTTATTGTATGCAAATACTTAATTCATCTTCTGCAATCATCACAGTAAGATAACTACCAGAGCTTTTTGTAAACCCGAATATATATGAAACAGGTAGTAATACCATTTCATATATAACTTATTTTAGACAGAAATAAAGAAATTGGCCACCAATGCATATTAAAAGTTATAAAGCGTAGACGAGGCAGTTTATTGAGTCAGAAAATAATTACCAAAGGATCTTGGCGGACATTTGTTACTTGCGAAAACAAGCTTTTTTGTTGACATTTTCATCTTTTTCGGTATCTAAACAGCTTTCATAATATATATATACAAGATCTATTTACCAAGATGGAATAGACTGGAGTTCAGTGAACTGTAAGAATTTCCAATCTAAAATAATCGGCAGCTGTCTGCCCTTCCAATTAACTGTAAATTTCATGGCGAAGAACATTTTTTACCTTTAAGGTTTTAAAACCATTCGTAACTAGTTTAGTTAAAAAAAATCACGAATACGAAACTATACTGTTTTTTAACCATTTACGATTGGCATGGTTTCAAAACTGTAACAAAGAAATTTAACTAGATGTAGAAAGTAGACTTTTCGTCAAGTAATGCGCATTGGAGTTATGTTGTGATTGAGTTGTGTTTTATGAAATGAACCGTGGAATGTGGGGTTGTTCCAACTATCGTAAGAGACTTCTTTGGTCAGTTTCATGATGCTGCGTGAATGAGAATTAGTTCAGGATCACAAATTGGGGAGCTCTTCTTGTGTTGAAGGGAACAAAAGATGGGACTCGAACTCGTACCCTCTTTCTGACAGTCCTCTCGGCTATGATGTGTACCGAGCATACAAGGAACAAAATGCCTTCATTAGGTGGTGTGATGAAATTCTGATTGTTTAACCGTATTACATGTAAATAGTTAATAAACGTTTTTTACGCATTTAACAGTTTGAATATCATCTTATTTATGATTAGTTGACTTTTTTGTTTGAATATGGCGAACAACTAAATAATAATTGTTATTAAACCATTTGGTGACGAGAAATTTATAACAGTGTGGTGTATCGGAATCTTGGTGAGTGTGTGTATCGTGTCGTTTATCGTCCACATTTGTAGAACATATTTAAGTTGTTCAAAAATTATCATGACCTTTTTTCCAAATTCAAGGATTCATGACGTCATTTTAAGTTACACTATCTCAAACGAATTCAAAATTATCGAATAGGAATGAGTTTTTAATAGGAATTAGTCATGAACAGAACCGTTAAAAGAGACATTCGTTGTAGTTTCTCGTCAACGGTATGCCTTTCAATACACAGAGTTTTGAAACCAAATGAACTGCACTGTATATAAAAAATAAACACGTCTGAAATGGGAAACATCGAATGCAATAGATACCTGCAACCTGCAAGTGACGTTACCGTATAGAGGTATGTGTCGATTTACTCAGGTTCGAAACACACGCGTGATGCGTCGCTTACAGGTATCCAATTAAATCTGTTTTAAATTAGGCATAATCACTTCACTTCTTCTCGATTTCCAAGTATAAATGGCGTCTAGATCAGTGATTCCCAATGTGGTCTATATCAACCCCCAGGAGTCGATGACAGCCTGCAAGGGATCCATGTCAAGTGAAAAAAAATCGGGGGACCATTAAATGAAAATGGGGGTCAACGATAGTAGATCTCATATAAACTGATCGTGACTTCAATTTTGGCATTTCATGAATGGAATAATCAACATACACCGATAGTACCTATTTACTTACATTATACTGCCTTTTAATATGAAGACATATATCTATCTAAATTCTACATAATTTATAAAAGTAGCTATGAAGTAAAACTTTTATTAAAATTTAAATTATTGGGATTATTTTCTGACATACTTGTATGAAACTGAATTATTATAAACTAGCAGTTGCCTGCAGCTCTACTCGAGTACGTTTCTTATTTTCTCTGCGTGTAAGGTTTTCTCTTGTAACAAAAAAGTATTTTTCAGCGGTAAATTAGTTTGAATTTTATTAATAAATGTATAAAATTAACATGTGTTTTTTCTTAAGTTGTTCACACTACACTTGACTGCAGTTAGAAATCTTTCACAGTGAGTAGCATAGCACTATACCAGCTGTCAAAAATACATTTGAAGTGGATGAACTTACAAATATCAGGTAAATAAGGGGTCTATCCAAAACCGAAAAACATGGCAAGGGATCTACGAGACATCAGGAACCACTGGTCTAGATCCTGATGGGTCGTTGAAACGTGGCATTTGTTTACGTTAATAACTGTTTCGAGTCCGTCAAGTATCAATTCTTTTAAGTGACACATTTTCTGTATACAACGATTTCACTCTATATTTCTCACAGGCATGAAACCACGAACGAATTACACAAAACAAAAATATATCACGGTTGCCATAAAAATTCATAAACAATTAACAAATATAAGTTAATAAGTAAAAGGCGAGAAAGAATTATATTCCATGCGCGATACGGAGCGGTATATAATTAACTTCACGTTAATGAACATTCTAATTTATGTGGAGAAACTTAGTTCAACTCTAACACTCCGCCATTTTGCGCATAAACGATTAGCTGGAGTAGATGTCATAGGTCATATGTGTGATCATCTTCTTTTTGAAGTACACCCCCATTGTATTTTTTTTAAATTTCTCACTCAAAATCCTACAATGAACCTAATTTTCCCCGGTATATTTTATTTCTTTATATTTATTACGCATTATTCATTGTCTTAAGTAAAACCTATTCATTTTAGAGGAGACATACGTGAATGGTTATAGAATACCTAAGGGCACAACAACGATTTATAATTTTTGGATGGCACACATGAATCCTGAAGATTATGAAGAGCCACAGAAATTTAATCCATCAAGGTTTATAGTAAAAGATGGAAAAAAGAAAGCTGAACTTTTACCCTTATTTGGAATAGGTGTGGTGTTTCATTTATTTATATTTTCTTGTTTATGATCTTCCTTAACATACAATAAAGCACAAGAGACTATAATTCCCAATGTGATAGATAAAATAGTCTGTTCTCAAGTGATACAATACACTTAAATGTTACTTTTTGTAATTCACTGTACTTGGGAGTGCAACACATAATATGTAAATTCATTTGTGAAAATTACAGATGTATAGTTTGAATGACACTTGCAATTTAAAAATATTTTTTTTTAATTCTTAATTTCTTTAAACATGTTGTAGACTAATTGTTTAATAAAATGCGATTCATCACATTATTTAACAAAATGCGATTCATCACATTATTTAACATGTCTCACGTTATATAGCTCGATCCGTCAAATATTTCGAGAGAAATGTACATTTGTTTTAATACAGGGTTTAATGACGCAAAAGTCTGAATCGGTTATACTGCGCCAAAACTGCGTAAAAAGCATTCATTCTCTTTTAGGTCATCTAATGAAACGATGTTAAATCAGACGTGAAACGTTATTTTTCATGGAGGTAATACCAATTTTAGAACTGATGAATTCATATGCATATAACTCGAGCACACATACTATAATTAACTAATTTTTACATACATTGAATTTTTGCTTCCTTTATCTTTAAAGTTATCGTTCAATAACGATATACAAGAAGAAAATAGAATAATTTTTATAAACACTGAAGAACAGTGACTTCCGTTAACTATCTGCAAGACTTGTTTTAATCATAAGAGATTAATTAAACCTATAATTAAATGCTGAATCATACATGTTGCTACCATTTTGCAAAAATGCATCGGCAAATCAAATGTTTTAAAAATTGAATGTCTAAAGATGCATGTGATTACATTAAAATTTTACAAATAAAAAGAAGGTCATTTATACATTTTCCCGTCTTTCAATGAGCCTATAGCTCAGTGGTCGACAAATTAGGGCTTTTTTTTTTCTTCCCAAGTACGTAGTCCAAACTTAAGCTGATCTAGATTTTCTAAAGAAAAAATTGGGTGCATCTCACAAGACGAGACTTTCTGACCACTAGTCTAGCTCTTTTATAGGAAAACTATATTTAATGGTGTGCATATTGTAAAACAATATTAAGAATAATTTTCAAAGATTCTAATTTTAAAACTTATGTTGGCAACTCCCACCGATCCATCGGTGGATATTCGATTCATCTCACAAGTCATCAAGTTTGTCAGATATGTATAGATTCTATATTCTTTGAATATAGAGGTAAAATTTCATTCTATTTTTAATGAGAGTGTTTTTCTGTTGTAGAGAAGTTGCAAAAGATTTTAAGTTAAAAACATTTATAATTTAGATTCGATGATCGTCTGTTAAGCTTTTTTAAAATCGAAATCTTGGTTAAGACAAAAAATTACTCTCTCTCAATTAAAATGAAAAAAAAAACGTATGACCAGCTTTGGTTCATGGCTTATCTTTGACTCAAAATAAATGTTTCTAATGATCTATAAATAATATCATTTACAAAAATACCTTTCTTTTCACAGGTAAGAGGTCTTGTATGGGAGAAGGATTTGCTATGATACAGGTTTTTCTTTTCTTGACAACGATCATTAAAAACTTTCGCTTAGAAAAGCCGTCTGCGGGAGATGAGAGTCAAAGTGTGTTTTTCAACTTCGACAAACTGAATGTATGTGCCCATTTCAGAAGCCACAAATAAATCTTATCCATGTTTTCGGGAAAATAAAATGTGTTCAACTTAGTAAACAAAGAATCTTTTTCGGATTGTAGGAGAGAGCGGGGTTCGCATGCACCTGGAAATCAAAATGTAGCAGTAATAATAACATAAAACATTAGTGTGTTGTATATAATTGCCTTAACATTTTAATAACCTCAAAATAATATGTCTTGAACTGCTGAAGTTGGTAGATTGTAATTTTTAATTGTAAGCTGAAGGCATTGAAATCTCTAAAATGGAGAGCCACTGAAGTGAATCCCTTGTCTAATTGATCAAGTACCAAAGCGAAACAAGCAGACAATAATTTTGGAACGTCTTGGAGTTGGTTGTTTTATTTTCACCATCATGTATTTTTATTTTTTGCATAATATTAATTTTAGACAAACATCAATTGGGGCAGTTATCGCAACCCATGACTTGAAATGTGGGGGTGTTTATAAAAATCTATCCAGGAGAGAGGGAGAAGGGTTACAAGTGATCACAATTTTCTCTCCTCAGTAATTTTTTATATAGTTATTTTTCGTGCTGTGAAATGACATACGTGAAATATTTTATCTATTATAAATTAATTGCGGAAATATGAATTATTCTTAGTGTAAATTTGAGTAAAAATGTTTACAAAAAATCTAAGAAATTTGCCAAATGCGCGATAACTAACACAGTTGCAAAAATCAAGCGTAAAGTTACTCATAAAAAATTAATTTTAAGCGATTTCTTGTCAGAGTTCTAATTTAGCAAATAAACTGTCACTTAAAAAATGATTGTATAATTCTGAGTTACACAGGCACTTTGGAATGTATCAATTAAAACAATAGAATTATTCTAATTTTATAATTTAATCTTTTAGTTAAATTACAGAAAGGAAATGAAGTATTCGAAAAAAGAGGAAGGCCAAAAATGTTTTTCGTCTGCACAATGAATTAAAATTGGCGAGGAACTTAAGGAAAAATTGCAGATTTTGTTTTTTTATAATTTAATAATTACTACGAAGAAGACAAAATAAATTTTATTTATAATTTTATAAACTATTGATAAAAAGTAAATTCAGCACAATTGGAGAGTGAGACTTTGGGAATCTTCATTGTTAGAATTTTTCAGCTTTTTATAGCGAAATTGATACCATAAATTTAAGGTATATGTACTAGACTCAGACAGCTTATTGCTGGAAATTTAGATTTTTTTAAAAATTGTTTACATTTTTTTTATAAATTAACTTGGTGCAGTCTGGTAATGTCTGTGGAAAAAATAAAGTTGTTTCGCAGCATTCATTTTACGTTCTACAATGCTTAGTACAACAGTTTTAGATCTTAATGTAGCAGCTCACTCATCCGTATTTTTGATAGCTAAATGTATAAAGTGGTAACACAATAAAAAAGCTCTGATATTTGATTCTTGGTTTGATCATTTTGACTTAAACCTTTTCGAAAAAACAAATTTCGATTGAAATTTTTAGTTAGGCAATAGATAGTACATTTTAAGTGACATACTTTAGCTCTTTGTTTAAAGAATAATGGTTGCTAAGTGCATAAAAGCAATTATTTTTAAAATTCTAGTGGTTTGTCACATTTGTAAAAGTAGTGTTTGGCAGACACAGCACCGAAAAGGTTTAATACATTGTTGACGTCATATGACATCCATCCATAACAAGGATAATCAGATATTCATCATCCAATAGGAGTGAAGTATTTACCTGTTAAAAGTTCAATTTAATATAAAAAATAATAGTAATAGACACATAATAATATAAGAACACTTTTTATTCTTGTAATTTTTTTCCAATCACAGTAAAGGAATTGGATAAGGGATGGAAAAAAAATCTTAAATTTCATTCATTGCAGAACAATTATTTGTTCAGCAATAAGAATTATTTTATAATTGTCTCACCTTTTGTTACGAGCATCATTCAGTTCTAGGCGCCTTTTCTAATAACTTTATTTATTTTAACTATTGTATGTTTAAGTTATCGTTTGTTAACTTAGGATTCAAATTTGTAAAATAACAGCAGATCACTTTGGTTTTTGTACGATGCTTAAGGAAGTATATTTGGGTTTCAGTAGTGGGTGAGCGAGTGTTAGAAATTGCAAAAACTATTCCGGCTAGCAATAGTAAGCAGACGTAGTAAACACATAGAATACTTTTAAACTACTTGAAAAGTTAAACCACGTGGAGCATTGGTGTTGCTCGGAGGATAAAGCGTTCGCCTTCCAATGAGGTGAATCCGGTTCGAATCCCAGCAATGGCTGATCGATACGAATTCCGCACCCGGTTCGCGTGGGAGGTTTTCCTGGTTTTTCTGACCATGTAAGGCAAATACGGGTTATAGTTCCACCAAAAAAACATCCACTTTATTTATTTATTTTATACCAATGCTTGAACTAGGAGTTCCTTTGTCACCTGGATTGGGTTCAAAACTAAAAGGTTACGGAGTTGAACATTAGTAGTCGTAAACCCGAAAATTGGGAGGGCTCTTCGACGATTATAAAATAAATAATAAATTATAAAGTTGATTTAAAAAAGTTTCAAATATTTGAGAAAGCTATTCCCCCTTTTGAATTTAAAGGTGTCTGCCACTTAGCGCTTTATTTTCATCGAGCGATCCTTTATTGGATCTTCTGATTCGTTAGGTTTCAAAAATCAAAACTACATTAAAAATTGTTAGTGTGCCTGAATTGAAAAACAAAATTTCTGGGGTTCATACAGCGCATAGAGATTTCTAAATGAATATATTAAGGCAGGTTTATACGTAATTCCCTTTATAAAGGCATCATAAGAAATATTCCGTGTCTGGCAGAGGCACTCTAGCAGAAACTACTTAAATGCAAGGAGTTATACTTTTTTTTCTTCTTCAAGGAAACGTAAAACTTAATGTAATACTACTTTCTTTTCTAAAACACTCGCGAGATCCCGAGAAGCGTTCAAGGTTAGTTTAAATGCAAATAGATGATGTAATAAATGACACCTGTGGATAAAGTAGGAGAAAAACATTTCGCAAATGTGCCTCCTTCCCCCCCCCCCAAGAAAAACTCTCCGTTTTGTTATTTTAGGATATTCTTTAACTCAGCTGTTCCCAAAAGGTGTTCCACGGAACCCCAGGGTTCCGCGGAAGGATCTCAAGCGGTCGAAGGCCTTCTCATGAGCTTTGAAAGTGACATTTACAGGGCACGTTTTTTATAAAAATGTATTGTAGTGTTCGTATGTTTTAATGTATTACAAACTTATTTGTCCACACCACTGCCTATAAATGATTTAAAAAGTTCATACGCAACGGCGCTTTCGTGGTAAGGCTTATAAAATGTTGCCAAAAATTCGGAAAAACTTCATATCTACCTCTCTATAAAATATTTTGCTTGGCATTTAATAGCAATGAATGAATAATTATTGATTTAATAGTTTGGTTTATTTTTATAAAATGCGAAAGGAGACCAAGAATGAAAGAAATTGAATAAATTGTGAAAAGGACAACTGCCTTAGCGTTCCACATGGAACTTCGAATTCAAAATAAAACGATTAAAGTCAAAGAAATATGATTCCCTAAGAATATTTATAGAGATTCATTTTCGTTTTAAAAACTTAAATGAAAGCTGAACTTTAAAAACTCGGGTGACAAAAAAATTAAATTTAAAGAGGATAAAAAGTTTAAAAATTGAAAATAATTAGATTGACATTCATAATTTCCAAATACAGTCAAACCCCGCTATAGTGAACCTTCAAGGGACCGACATTTTTGTTCACTATAACCGGGTGTTCACTATATCCGTTACGTAGGCAATTTAACTTATGGTTCCCAAACTGCTCCCTTTTATTACACATTATTCAAATAAATGACTGAAAAATATTATGAAGTAGCAAAAAATGTGTTATTTTTCATTATTCTTCGTCTTGCGTGCAAAAAAAATTAGTAATTTTTAGCTGATGAGCAATCCTCAATATCAGATATGGAAACACTTCACGACTCTCAGATAATTTTTCCTGAATTTCTGTAATTCAGCTTTTTAAACCTGTCTAACCTGCCATTCCAGCACATAAAATTAGTCTCATAAAATCGCTTAATACATTCATCGACATTTGTCCAGATACTAGAATATTGCGGCTTCTTCGAATGGTGAACCACTTCAGCAATGCTTCAACATCCTTGTGATCTGCATTTCTCAACTTTTTTCTGCCTTCTAAATTTTTTTCATGAGCAGAAATTATTAATTTTTTTTTTCCATATGTTACAAACTCAAGATTTGAATAGTTTATATTCCCTTCAAATATCAACTTGATTGCATCCATTTTCAATTTTTATAACTATGCCCATTTTATCATCAATGGAGAACGTTTTACGTTTACTGGTCTCCATAGTTAAATTTGAAACACTTGTTTGCAGACTTTTTTTTTAACTGAATTGAGAGCAAAAAGGAGTTGAAATGAGGGCCTTAACGACACATATTAGTGTCCAACCCTTTGACCAATAACGAATAATTACTCATTCCCTCTGACAGAAAATGCATATTGATCTCACTGACACCTTACAGGTGCATCATCTGCCTGACATCAGCTTGGTTTGTTTAGGGATTGGAAAGTGAGATAAAAGAAGCAAACAGGAAAAAATGCTTATCGCTACATTCCCCTCTATAGATGGTTTTAAACATTGGTATATGCATTTTATTTATTTTGAAGTAGAAATTTCAAAATTATTACAGAAAAAATGAAGAAAAAAATCAGTCGAAGACAGAAAAAAGTTCATTATATCCAACTTCCTCACTTTTTTGGTTCATTATATCCACAAAAAATAACATTATACGTGTATAGCAAGGCACGGGATCGAATATTTCGTTCACTATCACAAAGTGATAAACGCAAAACTTTTGCAACTATTTTAAGCGACATTAATGTGGAAAAATTCTTGTAAATTTTTCCACATTTTTTGAAACATTTTTGTAGAGGTAGTTAAGAAGTTGCAAAGAAGTAGTTAAGTATAGCTTATAAAATTCCTTGAA